TTATTGTCGTACTTACAGTGATTTATAATTGCTTCTTGATTGGTCTAGATCTCCCACAATGGTCTGTCAGAGTGTGGACTGTGTCTAGCTCACTGCTATATCCCCAGTACTTTTCACAGTTCCTACACATCAATAATCACTGAATGAATGGCTATAGACACTGTTAATCTCCACCTAGAATCGATTCCCCTTCCTCTACTGGGTGTTGCTATATCTGCTGGAACCATGGACACTCTGGCCATCATCATAGAAGCTAACTTGAGAATGGCAGGGCCATTCTCAGACTGTCTGAGAAGATAGGAAAGACTGGGTCTTTTGAGATATCATTGAGCCAGTGAATTAACCAACTCTGCATCAACCTACATTCAGACTTCTTGCTACATGAGAATATAAGCACCCTTCTTGTTGCAGCTCTTTGAGCTACATGCAGCCCAAAGCATCGCAAGTGAGAGACTGAGTGAATGAATGAATGGATTACTCCATCCTTACTCCATCCACTAGCATAAGAAAGCCAACTCCCCTACAATCAAGTTAAGGTCTTGTCTTGGGAACTTGAAAAACTGCTTACTGTTCTTAAGAAAGTCAAGGTAATAAGACAATAAAATCTTGACTGTCTGGAAGTTAGCTTATAGTTTTATGGATAAACTTTTAGGTGAAAGCTGCACTTTGCAAAGGAAAAGAACCTCTTACTAGGGATTTAAAAAAACAAAGAATTATTCTTAGAGAAGTTTCAGAGTCAATAAACATTCCTTCCAATCTCCTAAATGTTAGCAAGCATAAGCATAACTTGGAGACCTTTAAAAGCCAATTCCTGGGCCTCACCTCTGAAGATTCAGATTCAGTGTGATGTGTGAGTCCAGGAACCTGAATGTTAGCGAGCATTCTGATGTGGATGGTCTGCAAGACCGCACTTCAAGAAACCCTAGTCTAAAACTTCCACTTTATATCAGTGGAACCAAACCACAGGAAATGGTGTTTCACCCAATAATTGAGGGAACATATTCCAATGATGGAAAGATCCAGAAGATGGGAGCTATATTTTGGCTTATCTATTCACCAGAATAAGACACTGATTAGGCAAGTCACTTAGACCCCCCAAGTCTGTATATCCCCATTTATTAAAAACAACGTGCATCAATAGTCCTTTGCCTTGCTACCCCTCAGACCTCTTTTAAGGACCAAACGATCTCAGTAGATGTAATGTACAAATATAAGAAAATGCTCTTTGCTAGGACTCTGGTGTTCATTGTGCTCCTTAATAAAAAAAAAAAATCATCTGTGTTCATTAGGTTATATTCATTACAAAAGAAATGGGGACTCACATTTTAGAAAGACTGCTACATTTTCAAACTGTAAGGGGGATTTTGCTTACTTTCCAGTTAACCTAGAATTTGTTAACCAGAACATCCCATTCCTAAGCATTCAAACTAACTGAGATTTCATGTAAATAATGTACCTTTATTAACAATAATGTGCATTCATGAGGAGACTCCCCATCAAAGGGAGCTTCCTTGACTTGGGCAAAAATTAATGGGCCTACCAGCCACAGAATGGGGGGAAATATCTGCAAATCATATATCTGATCTGGGTTAATATATAGAATGCACAGAGAACCCCTAAAACTCAACAATAAAAAAAGCTGCTGATTCAAAAATGGACAAAGGATTTCAGCAGACATTTCTCCATTTGAATGGCCAATAAGCACATGAAAAGATGCACAAGGGAGGGGCTGGGGGTGGAATGGACAGAGGGGGAGGGAGAAGCAGACTCCCCACTGAACAGACCCTGAGATCATGACCTGAGCTGAAGGCAGACACTTAACCGACTGAGCCACCCAGGCATCCCATGTGAATGTATTTAATTCCACCGAACTGTACACTTAAAAACAGTTAAAATGATCATTGTTATGTGTATTTTACCACTATAAGAAATCCATTAAAAACTATTAATGGGCCCAAGATAACAAACTGCATGATTCCATTCATATGACCTTGACCTCTGGAAAAGACAAAACTGTACTACTGAGAACAGAGTAGTGGTCTCCAGTGGCTAAAGGTGGAGGAAGGATGTAACTTCAAAGGAGGGAGTTTTTTGGGGTAATGAAACTATTCTAGATCCTCATTGTGTTGGTGGTTACAAGAACCCTTACTTGTGCTAAAATTCATAAACTATACGCAAATGATAAGCACCTTTACTATATGTTAATTTAAAAGATAAAATTAATTAATTGGCCCAACTTGAGGTTATTATTTTTCTTGCCTCGACAATAGTAGCCCAAAATGTTGAGGTTTATGGAGACACAAAAGAAGAATCAAAGATGCAGGCGGGTAGGCAGGAAGAGAGAATGAGAACATGCAGGCTGGGTTAACAACTGTTCTGAGTACTTTTTCCCTGACTTTTCTTTTGAGAGTTGTCCCCTAAAGCTCAGTCTTATTTACTTATTGAGGTGTCCTCCTCCTCTTCCCAAGGGTGAAACTATTCTGATTGCCAGTAATTTCGTGGGTTCTCCTACAAGGCACTAAACACTTTAGTCCAAAGTTGATTTTTAGGTGGAACTTAACTTTCCAGATTACCTCATACCCCAACAATACTCAGAATGGTTAAGGTTTTTTTTTTGTTTTTTAAGGTTTATTCATTTATTTGAGAAAGAGAGTGAGCATGAGTGAGCATGTGCCTGGGGGTGGGGGTGGAGGGGCAGAAGGGGAGAATCTCAAGCAGACTCCTCACTGAGCAGGAGCCCCATCTCATAACCCATGAGATCATGACTCATGAGATCAAGACCTGAGCTGAAACCAAGAGAGTGACTGAGAGAGAGAGAGAGCCAGAGTGAGGGGGGGGGGGGCAGAAGGAGAGGGAAAGCAGGCTTCCCGCTGAGCAGAGAGCTGGATGGGGGGCTCTATCCCAGGACTCTGAGATCATGACCTGAACAGAAAGCAGACACTTACTGACTGAGCCACCCAGGGCCCCCAGAATGGTTAAGCTTTTAAAGCAAAACCCTCTCTAACAGTTCCAACATTTGAATTCAGACAGAACCCAGGGGAAAGGCATTTTCCATAGTGGCTCTCCTCTTTACATTTCAATTGCCCCCTCTTGATTGGAGCTGCTAGAGATATAACTTCAGACAGATCCATAATTTTAAATTTTTTAGTAGCTACCTTTAAAAAGTAAACACAGGGCGCCTGGGTGGCTCAGTTGGTTAAGCGACTGCCTTCGGCTCAGGTCATGATCCTGGAGTCCCTGGATCGAGTCCCGCATCGGGCGGGCTCCCTGCTCAGCAGGGAGTCTGCTTCTCCCTCTCCCACTCCCCGTTTGTGTTCCCTCTCTCGCTGTGTCTTTCTCTGTCAAATAAATAAATAAAATCTTTAAAAAAAAATAAATAAATAAAAATAAATAAAAAGTAAACACAGCAAGTAAAATCAACTTTAATTTTATTTAACCCAGTACATCAAAACATCATCATTTCAACATATAATCAATATAAAAATTATTAATGAAATATTTTGCATTCTCTTCTCTGTACTGCCTTTGAAATCCAGTGTGTTGTACACTTAAAGTACATCTCAGTTTAGATTAGCCACATACCAGTAGCTAGTAGCTGTTGCATAAGACAACATAGATCTAAGACTATTCATTTTTAAAGCCCAATGCAAACAGCCTTTCACCATCTGGACTTTGATCATTATCGAATATTTGAGCCTCTGCCTACATTGTTCATTCATTCATTGGTCAACAAACCCTAGGGTGTCTACTAGCACCAAGCTTTGTGCTAGAAACTAGAAACACAAAAAGGAACAAGGACACATCGTATGCCCTAAAGCTCAGTCTGCCAGGATGAGAGACACATAAAGAGACAATTACAAAATAACGTGTAAGAATCATGACGGATGCACTTTATTTTATGAGCACCTGAAAGGGGAAGGAAGTGCCACAAATGTAGTTCTAGAGGTGGCCCTGAGCAGCCTCTGAGGATGTCTAAGTTTAGTTCTATTAAGGGGATGGGTAAGGGCATTCCAGAGGTGCCGGCTGGAGCAAAAGCACTGAAAAAATGAGGGATTATGGGGCCCAGGGAACCTCCGAAGAGTGCATGTTCCTGCAAAGATGAAAGAAAGTGGATTCGTAAGCAAGGCCGGCGTAGGACCGGATTAGTCAGGTTTAGCTCCTAAAATAAAAACCTCCTACACTTCCTAAAATTTCAGAAGAGGTAACGGTCTCTGTAAGAATCGAGGTGAAACGCAAATGACACTGGATTTAACCTTTTGTTGGTAACAATCACTGGTCCGCGGTACAGGCTGCCCGGAGCACCCTACCCCCACCCCCTCCCGTCCCCCTTCCCCCCCCCCCCTCCACCCCAGGCCGGACACAGTGGCCGCTAGAGCGTTCACAGCGGCTCGGGGTCCTTCCTTCATTCTTTCCCCTCCAGTCCTCCCTATCTGCCTCAGCCGAGTGGAAAAGGGGTAAGGGTGCCCACCGTCCAGAACTGCTGTAGAACTCAAATGAATCTACAGAGAGCGCCTTGAGAAATGAAAAGGTGCATCTCGTGGCCTTGCGGGTACGAAGCGACCTGACTGCCGCGGTCAAGGCCAAGTTTGCACTCTCCCTGGCCAGGTCAGGAGTCCTCGGCCAAACTGCAAGGTGACAGACCCAGGGCCCTGGGGCGCTGCCAGCGCACCCCTTCGGAGGCAATCCAACGCGTGACCGCATAACGCGACCCTCGAGGAGGCGCCACCTGAGGAGGAGCACCGGGCCCCTGCACTGCGGCCGCTCGCGCCGCCGCAGCCTCCCTCGCCGCAGGGCGCAGTTGACCCCACCAGCGCGCGTGTTCCCCAACCACCCCTCCCAGCGCGTCTGCGAGGAGAGGGTGGGGCGGCCTGACTCCTGCAGCCAATAAAAGCCTCGGCTTCCTGGTCCGATCCCCGGCGCGGCTCGCCATTGGTCGCCAGCCGGGTCTCGGCCCACCGAACCTTTGCGACCCGAGCCAATCGCGAGGCGGCGAGGCGACCCCCCGACTCCCCGGGAGCGGCCGGCGGGCGGCGCGGGCGCAGGCGGGCGCGGAGCGGGTGGCGGTGACAGGCGGCGCGAGCCGGCACCCCCCTCCCCCGCGCGGCGCGCCGCCGGCCCCACCATGGAGCCCGCCGTGTCGCTGGCCGTGTGCGCGCTGCTCTTCTTGCTCTGGGTCCGCGTGAAAGGGCTGGAGTTCGTGCTCATCCACCAGCGCTGGGTGTTCGTGTGCCTCTTCCTCCTGCCGCTCTCGCTGATCTTCGACATCTACTACTACGTGCGTGCCTGGGTGGTGTTCAAGCTCAGCAGCGCGCCTCGGCTGCACGGGCAGCGCGTGCGGGACATCCAGAAGCAGGTGAGCGGCGCCGGCCGGGGCGGGAGCGGGTCGGCGGGACTCGGCCGTGTGCGCGGGGAGCTCCGCGCTGGGCGCGAGGTGGCGTGCGGTACACCGAGAGCCCGGACTTCGCCGGGGAGGCGGCGGTGGATGGGGGGGTTGGAACTCAAAATGCGATGGTGGGGGCTTCCCGGGGAGGGAACGGAGTGAGCAGAGGCATTCAGGGGACAAAACGTTGCTCGGTGTTTATGGAGTGTCTACTCTGTGCGGAGCACGTGCGGCTTCCCCAGAGGGATAGAAAGGATCACGAGATAGGGGAGGGCGAGCGATGCACAGGTGGCTGCCTCCAGGCGCGAGCGATCTCGGAGACGGAAGGGCTTCTGGGAGGTGGGGCTGGCACTAGACCCTGGGAAGTAGGGGAAATGGTAGGAGGAAGGTGTGTCTGGTGGAGCGTTGGGTGTGAGCCAAGGCCCAGAGGGGGAGAGGGGTGGAAAGTCCCTTCGGAACTAGGTTGGGGCGGGGTCTTGAGTTTAGAGTTTACTCTGTAGCAGCAAGGAGCTTTTGGCTTATTTAGAAGGACCAAAGTGAGAAGGTAGCCCCGAGCCAGGGTCAAGAGCCTCGCGGCCCTGGGCCTGGCGCGCAGTGGCGCGCACTCGTTGAGGGGGCATCCCCAGTAGCTCCACATCCTCCCCAGTGTCTGCGCCCACAGAGCCCGGGCCCCTGCTGCTGCTCACAGTGGAGCCCCCTTCTCCGCGCCCAGGGTTGGCCTGGGCTTGGGGCCTGGGCATTCTTGGCTCCCTCTGCACCTCCTTACGTTCCTCTTAGGAGTGTCTGGTTGCAAAGAGCTTCTGTTTCCTGCCACCAAGCTCAGCGCAGGTGTAGCAGCGTCCATGTTCTGTGGGTGCGGTGATGGGCGCAGCAAGCAAGAGTGGGAAGATGGATGCTGAGGGCCACCCCTAGGAGGGGTAAGACCTCCGGCTGGTGGCAGAATGCAACGTCTGGAACTGCTTTGCATGGGCTGTCCTGGGTTCAACTGGTCACAGTCACAGCTCCAGAGCCCTGCCTACCCTCCCTCCCCAACTGCGCCCTCTTTTCCTAACTCTATCCACGGTTCTGATTCTCCCATTTGCTTGTTTGTGGTTCCCCCATCCCCCTCCAAGCTGAGCATGAGCTCCTGGAAGGCAGGGACCATCGTCCAACTGGGGCCTGGCCCAGAGCAGCCCAGGGACTTTGTACAACCTTGCCTCCCAGACCAGTTCTTGCTCGGTTCCCATCAGGATCTAGTCCAATGGATGGTTCAGGCTTTAAGGCTTCCACACTCACTTCATACAGCCCACCCAACAGCTGAATGCAGCACCCACAATCCATTTCCCACACCACTGAGTGCGTATGAAGCCCTTGTTTACCTAAACGAAGCCAAAGGTTCTCACTGGACAGGAAGACAAGGGGCTTGGCCAAACCAGCCCACTGCGCTGGACCTGCCATGTGCCATAGTCCATGCCCCTTGATGTCCATCATTTCTGATCTCACAGCAACCTTGATACGTCTTGTACCTGTTTTACAGATGGGAAAATTGAGGCTGAAGTGGTAGTCATGTGTTCAAGGTGATCTAGCTAGTAAATGGGGCTGGAACCCAGGTCAGCCTGGTTTTAGAGCCTCAGTTCTGACCCTTTCTCCTTTCCCATCCCTTCCCATTCCACCCAGTAGGTTTGGTTCTGTTGCCTCACACCTGGCTTGTGATAATAGCCCCCTGACTGGTTGACCTTCTCGGCCCTCCCCACCTCTCTCTGGCTTGCACATACTCACATCACAGGACAGACTTCGTACAACCTTGCCTCCCGGCCCAAATTCTTGCTCAGTTCCCATCAGGATCCAGTCCAACCGGTGGTTCAGGCTTTAAGGCTTCCACACTCACTTCGTGCGGCCCACCCAACCACTGGAATGCAGCACCCACAATCCATTTCCCACACCACTGAGTGCGTATGACACCCTGGGATCATAGAGTCAGGCGGAGGCCCAATGATCATTGAATCCCTCCTCTGGTCCTTTCACAGGAATCTCTTCCTCAGTAACCCTCCTCTGCTCGTACACCTCTATTCACAGGGCACCCTGGCCTCTTGATGATTAGGAAAGTTCTCCCCCTTGTTGAGTTGTTTGCCCCATCACTTTCAATGCAGCCTCCTCCACGACTCTTGGTTGCATGTGATAGGAACTCAGTTCAGACTGGCCTGAGCAGAGAGTGAGTGTATTGACGCAGGTCCTGAAAAGCCCAGGAATAAAACTGGCTCAGGTATGACTGGATCCAGGAGCCCCTGTCCTGATGTTGTCTTTCCATCCATCCACCCTCTGTTGGCTCGGCTTTCCTCTGGGTTGATTCATTCTCAGGGAGGCCCACCTCCCTGTGGAAACTCCAGCAGTTTCATTCCAACCAGTTCAGCAATCCCAGTAAAAGGAGAGTCTCTCTCAGAACTGGCCGTATTGCCTTGACTTGGACCCTAGGCCCATCCCTGAACTGGTCACTGCGGCCAGAAGCATGGAATCAGACCTTAGTCGTGTTTCCACCTTCGGGGGCAGGAGAAGACTCAGCATCACCTGGACCAAAGGAAGATGGGACTGTTAGAAGCATATGAAGAGGAGACAGATGGTCAGAGGTCACAGCAACAGATGTCCATGGAAGGGAACACTTTGTGTTCCTGATGGGTTTGGCATCTCCTGGGCCATTTGCTGTCTCTGTTGTGTGCCCTGGTCACTTACAGTGGAGGTTTTGCAAAAGCTCTTCCTTCCATCGGCTTGGTGGTCCTCCTCTGCCCCTTCTCTCCCCCTCCAAGTGACGACATATGAGTTAACATACGCATGCTTAGAACGGGGCTCGGCACACAGGCCCAGTAAGTGTTAACTGTTACTCTATTCTTGACTATTAACACAAGCCCGTCTATCTTTCCAGGCCTGAAGTTGGACAGTTCTGGTTGTGAATCCGGGCTCTGCCCTTCACTGTTGAGTGACCAAGTTATTTTGCTTCTTGGCTTTCTGCCCTATGAGAGGGGGCTGGCCACCCCCCCTCCTGGGGTTGTGGTGAGAAGTAAATGAGCCTGTGTACAGTAGGTGCCTGGGTGCCTGGCACAGTGGGGGCACCCAGTAGATGGTTATCACTCGTAGAGCTGTATCATTACCGCCCCAAAGCCTTTGCTGAGCTTCCCAGTTAGGGTTGTTTACAGATGCACTTTGATCCTGGGTTTTCGCTCTTTCTCCCCCCTGCTTGGTGGTGTGGCAACACCTCAGCCTTTCTGTTCGCCTCGCTAGCCAAGGAGGTTTCAGAGGGAAAGGGCTGTGGGCCTTCCAGGCCCGGCAGGATGCAGGGGCTCAGTAAATGTTTGACATGTGAAGGCATCCCTCCAAGCTCCCTCTCCTGAAAGCAGGGCCGCGAGCTGCCCTGGGGACCCTTCGGCGGGGCTAGCTGAGCCTCTGTCCCACGGTTGCAGGTGCGGGAATGGAAGGAGCAGGGCAGCAAGACTTTCATGTGCACGGGACGCCCTGGCTGGCTCACTGTCTCGCTGCGGGTTGGGAAGTACAAGAAGACACACAAAAACATCATGATCAACCTGATGGACATTCTGGAGGTGGACACCAAGAAACAGGTGAGAGGGGCTGAGTTCCCAGGCTCTGGGAGCAGGTGGGATACTATCCCCGGTGTGAGTGACTCACAGGGAGACAATTGTAGCCAGAGGATCCCAGTCCTCACAGAAGGCTCTGCCCTCCTTCAAAACCTCATAGCTTTGGAAGAGATCAATCAGAGCCCCATCCCCCAGGTGGGCACACTGAACTCAGGGAGACTTGTTGATTGTCAACAGTTCCCCAGGAAAAAAGTATGGGGAAATCATGGGCAAAGATGAGAGACAAAAATGGAACCTATTTATCCCTTCCCAGTAAGGAAGTGTGCTGGTAAAAAGAGGGCTATGGAGGTGGGAGGAAAGATGGGCCTTCTTCCAGGCTTCCTGGGGACCCACTTGTTAATAGCCTTACACATGTGCATACTCTTTGGTCTACCCAGTAATTTTTCTTGAAACCTGGCACAAGGAAAAAGGAAATAAGTTTAAATCAAAGACAACACAGAGGGATTATGTCAGTCCTTCCTTCTTTCCTTCCTCCCTCCCTCCCTCCCTTCCTTCCCCATCCCTTCCTTCTTCCTTCCTTCCCTCCCTCCCTTCCTTCCCTCCCTCCCTTCCTTCTTCCCTCCCTTCCTTCTTCCTTCCTTCCTTCCTCCCTCCCTCCCTCCTTCCCTCCCTCCCTCCCTTCCTCCCTCCCTCCCTTCCTTCCTTCCTTCCTTCCTTCCTTCCTTCCTTCCTTCCTCCCTCCCTCCCTCCCTCCCTATATCCCTATCATAGCTCTATTTCTTTTTTTTTTTTTAAGATTTTATTTATTTATTTGAGAAAGAGAATGAGATAGAGAGAGAGCATGAGAGGGGGGAAGGTCAGAGGGAGAAGCAGACTCCCTGCCGAGCAGGGAGCCCGATGCAGGACTCGATCCCGGGACTCCGGAATCATGACCTGAGCCGAAGGCAGTCACTCAACCAACTGAGCCACCCAGGCGCCCCCATAGCTCTATTTCTAATGGAAGACAGCACAGTACCCTAATGGTAAGGATTATTAGATATAATATATCCGTATGATGGCATTTTGTTGTGAGGCCTTGGCCATGTTGCTTAATGTCCCTGTGTCTTTCCTTTTTCCTAAGCAGCATTATTGACATACACTTGGTATGCAATACTACACAGGTGTCCAACAATAGTAAATTTTGGCATGTGTATGCAACTGTGAAGCCATTCCCACCATCAGGACAAATGAACATACCCATTGCCCCCGAAGTTTCCTTGTGCCCCTTGCTAATCCCTGTTTAGCCCCCTCCCTGCCTCCCCCGCCCCCCACCACATTCTTAGGCAAATAATGACCTGCTTTGCATCACTAGTTTGTATTTACAGTTTCATATAAATGGAATCAGGCATTATGTACTCTTTTTTATTTGGTCTGGCAACTTTCACTCAGCATAATTATTTTGAGATTCATCCATGTTGAAGCATGTATCAGAAGTGCATTCTGCGTTAGTCATGAGAAGTATTCCATTGTATGCAGAGATCATGGTTTGTTTATCCATTCACTTATTGATGGACATTTGGGCTATGACAAACCAAGTGGCTAGGAGCATTTATGTACGTTCTTTGTAGGGACATAGGCTTTTCCTTTCCTTTGGGTAAAAACTAGAAGTGGAGTAGCTGGATCATATGATAGGTGTATGGTTAACTTGTTAAGAAGCTGTTAAATTGTTTTCCAAAGTGGCTGTAGCATTTTGCATTCCCGCCCTCCACATCATCACAGACTTGGTACAATTGGGTGTGTTGGGGTAGCTCATTGTGGTTTTAACTTCCATTTTCCTAATGACTAATGATGTTGGGCATATTTGCCATTTGTAGATCTTTTTTGGTCAGTTTGCTAAAATTTTGTATTGGGTTGTTTGTTTTCTTATTAGATATCCTAGAAACAAGTCCTTCATCAGATACGCAGTTTGCAAATATTTTCTCCCAGTTTTTGATTTCTCTTTTGAAAACCAGAAGTTTTTAATTTTGGTGGAATTCAGTATAGTAATTTTTTCTTTCATAGATCGTGTTTGTGATGTTTTCTTTAAGATGTCTTGCCCTAATCCTGTTTTCTTCTAGAAGTATTATGGTTTTCTGTTTTACGTTTAGGACCATGATCCATTTTGAGTTAATTTTTGCATATGGTATGAAATATGAGTGAAAAAAATATTTTTTTGCGTGTGGATTTTCTATGTTCTGGCCCCTTTTGTTGAAGAGATAATGTTTTCTCCACTGAATTGCCTCTGCTCATTTGTTAAAAATCAGTTGTCCATATACATAGGTCTCTTTCTGGACTCTTCTGTTGATCTGTTTGCCCATCTGTATGCCAATACCATATTGTCTTGATTACTGTAGATTCATTAAGTCCCTAAGAATGAGTTGGGAAGTATTCCTTTCTTTTCATTTTTTCTGGAGGAGTTTGTATAAAATTGGTATTATTTCTTCATGCAATAATTAGTAGGATTAACCAATGAAACCATCTGGGCCTGGAGTTTTCTTTGTGAGCAAGTTTTTATCTACAAATCAATTTTTTTAATAGCCCTGTGGCTCTTCAGTTGTTTCTCCCTCGGTGAGCTTTGGCAGTTTGTGTCTCTACAGGTATTTGTCTATTTAAAGTTGTATAATGAATTGACATTAGGTTATTCATAATATTCCCACTATCTTTTGAACACCTGTAAAGTCTGTAGTGATGTCACATGTTTCATACCTGATGTTGCTCATTTGTGACTACTGTCTTTTCTTCATGACCAGTCTGGCTAGAGGTTAATCAACTATACTGATCTTCTCAAAGGAGTAGCTTTCAGTTTCAATGTTTTTTCTCTATTTTTACTTTGTTTTCTATTTCATTGACTTCTGCTTTGATCTTTGTTAATTCCTTTCTGATTTGCATTTAATTTTACTCTTCTTGGTCTAGTTCTTTAAGTGAAAGCTGGGGTCATTGACTTAGGCCTTTCTTTTTTTCTAATATAGGTGTTTAGTGCTATAAATTTTCCCCTAAACACTGTTTTAAAACCATCCCACAAATTTGGAATCTTTTCATCTTTATTCAGTTCAAAATACTTTCTGGTTTCCCTTTTGATATTGTTTTCACCCATGGGTTATTTAGAAGCATGTTATTCAGTTTCCAAATATTTGGGAATTTTCCAGAGATCTTCCTATTGCCGATTTCTAATTTAATTCAGTTATTGTTAGAAAACTTACTTTATATGATTAGAATGCTTTTCAACTTATTGAGACTTACTTTATGGCCCAGAATATGGGCTGTCTTGGTAAATGTTCCATGTGCAATTTTTAAAAAAATGTTTTGGGGTGGTGTGTACTGTAAATGTCAATTAGGTCAAAGTGATTGACAGTGTTGTTCAAGTTGTCTACATTCTTACGAATTTTCTCTCTGTTCTATCAATGATTGAAAGAGATATTGACATCTCTGCCTGTGACTGTGGATTTATTTCTCTTGTTGCTCCATCAGGTTTTGCTTCATGTATTTTGAGGCTCTGTTAAGAGATATAAATGTTTAGGATTTTTATGTCCTCTTGATGAATCCCTTTACCATTATGAAGTGACTAGTTTTATTCCTAGTTATCTTCTTTGCTCTGAAATCTACTTTATCTGATATTATTAATAAAGCCACTCCAGCTCTCTTTTGACTAATGGTGGCATGGTGTACCTTTATATTTAAAGTGTGTTCCTTGTAGACAGCGTATAGTTGGGTATTGCTTTCTTTTTTTTTTTTTTTTTTAAAGATTTTATTTATTTATTTGAGAGAGAGAGAATGAGAGAGAGCGAGTACATGAGAGGGGGGAGGGTCAGAGGGAGAAGCAGACTCCCCGCTGAGCAGGGGGCCCGATGCGGGACTCGATCCCGATACTCCAGGACCATGACCTGAGCCGAAGGCAGTCGCTTAACCAACTGAGCCACCCAGGCGCCCTGGGTATTGCTTTCTAATACGATCTGACAATCTCTGCCTTTTAATCAAGATGTTAAAACCATTTACAGGGGCACCTGGGTAGCTCATTTGGTTGAGCATCCAACTCTTGATTTCAGCTCAGGTTGTGATCTCAGGTCGTGAGACCCAGCCCGGTGTCAGGCTCCATGCTCAGCACAGAGTCCGCTTGAGATTCTCTCCCTCTCCTTCTGTACCCCCCTCCTGCTCACACACTCTCTGGGAAAAAAAAAAAAAAAAACATACACATTTACATTTAGTGTTATTATCAATAGGGTTTGGTTTAAATCTGTCACCTTGTTCTATTTTCTTTTAAGTAGGCTCCATACCCAGAGGGATGCCCAACACGCCAGACCCTGAAATCAAGACCTGAGCAGAGATCAAGAGTCGAATGCTTGGGATGCCTGGGCAGCTCAATCGATCAAGCATCTGCCTTTGGTTCAGGTCATGATCTCAGGGTCCTGGGATCGAGCCCCAGGTTAGGGCTCCCTGCTCAGCAGAGAGTCTACTTCTCTCTCTCTCTCTCAAATAAATAAATAAAATCTTAAAAAAAAAAAAAAAGTCAGATGCCTAACCAACTGAGCCACCCAGGCATTCCTGTTCTTTGTTTTCTATGTGCCTCTTTGTTCTTTGTTCCTTTTCTTTTTTTTTTCTATCTTCTTTTGGATTACTGAATAATTTTTGAAATCCTATTTTAGCTCTTTGGTTGGCTTATTAGCTGTAACTTTGTCTTGTTCTTTTAGCAGTTGCTTTAGGATTTATAGTTTGCATTTCACTTATCACAGTCTACCTTCACGTGATAGCATCCTATGCATGTATATTTTAAGAATGTTACAGTAACCTACTTCCGGTTCTTTCCTCCCCACCTTTGTGCTATTTTTGTCATACTTTTATATGTTGTAAACCCCACAGTGCATTATTATTTAATAGTCTGGTATCTTTTAAAGAAATATAAATAGTAAGAAAAAATCTTATGTACTTACCCATGTAGTTAACATTTCTTCATTCTGTTATGTGGATTTGTATTTCCATCTGGTTTCGTTTTCCTTCTGTCTGAAGGAACTCCTTTGACATTTCTTGTATGGTGATTTTGCTAGTGATGAATCTTTTAGCTATTGTATGTCTGAAAACATTTCTTTTTTTTTTTTTTTTGCCTTCATTTCTTTTCCAACTTTTATTTTGAGAAACTATATGTAACATAAAATTTATCATCTTAACCTTTTTTTTTAAGTAGGCTCTATGCCCAACATGGGATTTGAACTCACGACCCTGAGATCAAGAATCACATGCTCCACCAACCGAGTCAGCCAGGCACCCTAATCATCTTAACCATTTTTAAGTGTACATTTCTTCAGTGGTATTAAATACATTCACATTGTTGTGCAGCCATCCCCACTATCTATTCCCATAGGTCTTTTCATTTCATAAAACTGAAACTCTACCTATTAAACAATAATTCCCCATTCTCCTCTCACCCCCATCCTGGGCAACCACCATTAGAAATTCTGTCTTTACAATTCTGACTACTCTTAAGTATCTCCTAAGTAGAATCATGCAGTCTTTGTTTTTTTGTGCCTATCTTATTTTGCTTAACATAATATCCTTAAAGTTCATCCATATGATAGCACATTGCAGAATTTCCTTTCTTTTTAAGGCAGAACAATATTTCATTGTATATATGTACCACATTTTGCTTATCCATTCATCTGTTGGCAGACATTGGGTTGTTCCCACATTTTAGCTATTGTGGATAATGCCCCTTGGAACATAGATGTACAAATACCTTTTCGAGCCCTGCTTTCAATTCTTTGAGGTGTATACACCAAAGTGGAATTGCTAGACCATATGGTAATTCTGTTTAATCTTTTTTGAGGATCTGCCACACTGTTTTCCACAACAGGTGGACCATTTTACACTCCCACCAACAGGACACGAGGGTTTTCATTTCTCCACATCTTCACCTCCACTTGCTATTTTCTGGGTTTTTGTTTGTTCAGCTTTTTGATAATCCATCCTAATGCATTTGAGGTTGCCTTCGTTTTTGAAAGCTGTTTTTACTGGGTATGAAATTTTAGGTTGACAGGTTTTTTTCCCCGAGTACTTTAAAGATACTTCACTGTCTTCCTTCCTGCATTGTTTCCAACAAGAAACCTCTCATCCTTGTCTTTGTTCCTCTGTATATAACATGTCTTTCTTTTCTCTCTGGCTGCTTCTAAGATTTTATCATTAGTTTTGAGCAAGTTCATTATGATATGCCTTGGTATCATTTTTTTCCTAGTTCTTGTGCTTGGGATTCATTATAATTTTCATCGAATTTGGAAAATGTGGGGTCATTATTTCTTCAAGTACTTTTTCTGCCCCCTGCTCTCTCTCCTTTGAGGACTATCACACGGATACGAGACCTCTTGAAGTTGTTCCACAGCTCAGCTCATTGATATCCTGTAAAAATTGTAAACAATTTTCTTTCTCTGTGTGTCTCATTTAGGAGAGTTTTGATTGCTGTGTGCTTGAGTGCACTGCTCTTTCCTCCTATAAGGTCGATCCCAGCCAGTGTGTCTTTCATCTCAGATGCTGTTTTCATTTCTGGAAGTTTGATTAGGATCTTTTTACTATCTTTTTAATGTCTCTACCTAACTTTTTGAATATGGGGAATATAGTCATATAACTACTGGTTTATAATAATTATTTTAATGTTCTTGTTTGCTAATTTTAACATCTCTGTCCAATCTGGGCCTATTTTACCACAACAGATTGATTTTCCTCCTTGTTATGAGTCAGATCTTCCTGCCTCCTTGCATACCTGATAAACTTTGATTGGATTCTAGACATTGTGATTTTTACCTTATTGAGTGCTAGATTTTTTTTTTTTTTAAGATTTTATTAATTTATTTTACAGAGACACAGCAAGAGAGGGAACACAAGCAGGGGGAGTGGGAGAGGGAGAAGCAGGCTTCCTGCTGAGCAGGGAGCCCGATGTGGGGCTCAATCCCAGGACCCTGGGATCATGACCTGAGCCGAAGGCAGACACTTAATGCCTGAGCCACCCAGGCGCCCCGGGTGCTAGATATTTTTGTATTCTTATAAATCTTCTTGAGCTTTGTTCTGGGGCACAGCTATGTTACTGGGAAATAGTTTGATCCTGTAGGGTCTTGATTTTTCAGGTGAGGTCAGAGCAGCGTGTAATCTAAGGGTAGTTATCCCACCACTGCTGAGGCAAGATCCTATTCTACCCATTGCCTTGTGGACCAAGAGGTTTTCCAGTCTGGCTTGTGAGAACAGATGTTCTTTCCTTCCCTGGGTGAGCCCCTGGCCCTGTTCCCTGTTCCCCTTTCTGGGGCCACTTTCCCTGGCCTCAGCCTCAGGTAATTTCCTTAAGTGTCTGCACTGACCGGTACTCTGCTGAATGCTCAGTGGGCATCCTTTGCAGTTCTTCAGAGTCTTCTCTCAGTGCACTTCTCTCCTCTCCAGTGCTCTGTCCTACAAACCCTATTCACCTTGGTCTTTGCAGCGCTCAGCACAGAGTCCCCTGGGCCCCCCTGCCTTTCCCCTCCCTGCACTGCCTGACTCCAGAGAATTAGCCTGGGTGTTAACAGAGCTCCCCTCATTTTGTTTCCTGTCTTTCAGCGGTCATTAACTTCATCTGATGTCCACTCTGTTGAAAACTCTTGTTTCATTTTGTCAGTTTCTTGCTTTGGGGCAGCAGGGTAAATGGGACCCCGTTGCTCCATCTTGGCTGGAAACCAAAGTCCACTTGTTGGCATATGGATGTGTCCATTAAAAGTTGTGGTTTCCAAGAATATTCTATGGCAAGGGATGATGGTCATAGTGTTAAATTTTAAAAAGCAAATTAGAAAAGTATGCGTATGTGTGCTTGAATTTGTGTGTGTATGTGTGTGTTGTATTACAACGTACAAAATAGCAGTTTAGGCATGGATGGAAAAAGCCTGAACGTAGGGACATTCCAGCATTAACACTGACAGCTAGGATGACATGAAGAAATAGGATGGATGTCTTTTGTCTTCTTCGTATATGCAGTTTCTTTCAAATAAAAGAGTATTTCTTTGATAGTCTGGAAGAGGAATAAACTAAGTATTAAGTGTAAAGATATTTGAAAGGACATGGTCAAACGCTAGCAGACCCAGCACCAGAAACCACATTCGCTATAATGAAAGGCAGTGTTGTGTTCTAGCAAGAGGCACGCAGGAATTCTATGTGATCGTGTGGGAAGATCTCGGGTGACTCCTTCTGTGTGAAGAGGCCCCCAGCAGCCCTGGCAGCCTCCCGGTGACCCAGAGTCTCTCTTCTTGTGTCAACAGATTGTCCGTGTGGAGCCCTTGGTGACCATGGGTCAGGTGACTGCCCTGCTGACCTCCATTGGCTGGACGCTGCCTGTGTTGCCCGAGCTCGATGACCTCACAGTGGGTGAGGACTCAAGACCGGCCGAGGGTCAGAGCTGAGGCCCTGTGGCCCACCTCTTGGTGTGGGGCCGCTGCTGTTCCATCTGTGACAGAAGTCCCTGTGTCTGCTCACCCAGCTCCAAAGGCAGGGCGTTGGCTGCCTGCCTTTAGTTCTCAGGCAGTACCTTCTCTCTGGCGCGAAACTGTGTCCCCGTGACATGTGTCCGTAACTCCAGTTCTGCCTTGAGGAGCACACAGAATAAGTCTAGTCTGTCTCTCTTTCTGTAGGATTCATGGTCCCCAATGCCTTTCCTTCTCTGGGGGAAACACCACAGGACACGGCTTCCTGCCACCCAGGCACCCCCCCCCACCCTGTTTTGTTAAGGTCCCTCTTAAGATGAGTGCGCACAGGCATTGAGGCAGGGTCTGGATAGAGGTGAGGGTGTGAGCATCCTTGACAGGCTTTTCTGCAGGTTCCCCTACCTCAGGGAAGCCCCCAGGCTCCCGTACGAGCCCCTCCTTCCCTCTCCTGCTCTCCAGATCCACAGAGATGGGAAGTCTACCCCAAGTGGCCAGTCCTGTCCCACCTCCCTTGTGCTGTGAGCAACCCCAGCTCCTGTGAAGTGCCCTTTACTCGATCCCCTCCTGACCCTGCACCCCACAGCTCTGCCTGGCTAACTCGCGTGTCTCTGCAGGGGGCTTGATCATGGGCACGGGCATCGAGTCATCATCCCACAAGTATGGCCTGTTCCAGCACATCTGCACTGCCTATGAGCTGGTCCTAGCCGATGGCAGCTTTGTGCGATGCACACCGGTGAGTTCCGAGATGGGGGACTTCCCACCAGCCTGCCCTGGGCATCAAGGATCCTGGGGCTGGGGAGGTAGGAACCCTGAAGGTGCTTCCTTTCAAACACACCTGTTCAGTCTGGGTCTGTATCCATAATAATAACAAAGATTGATATAGCCCCTTATATGTGCTCAGATACTGTTGTAAATGCTTCCTATATATTAAGCCATTTAATCCTTCAATAACTTTACGAGGTACTATTATTAGCCATATTTTAGAGATGGGAAATTAAAACACAGAGAGGTTAATAAACTTGCCCAAGATCACACAGCTAGGAAATCCCACACAGCTGGGCTTCAAACCCAAATTATCAGGCTCCCAGATCCATGCCTTTAGCCATTTATTATAGCATTCTGTCTCTCTCGGGCGAGTCGGGCCCGAGCCACAGAGCTCTATGCCAGGTGTTGTGAGATGTAACTAAAAGTGGCAAGAGGGGCTGTTTTGGAGAAACAAAAGATAATTCTGCTGCCCAAAGTGGGATGCAAACATTTAAGGCATTTTACCCTAATGAGTGGGACAGGATTGAAACTTTAAACAAACTCAGATTTCTGAGCATATCTAAGGGGCCCCTAGATGGCAGGGATAGAGTCACTTTTTACAAGAAGATGTTTTAGAGAGCCACCAGGGTTCCTGGCCTCACAGAAGAGAGTCCAGGGCAGGCTGGAGAGCCCTGGTCTTAGACAAGAGAGACCCCTTTCAGGATTCACAGCAATTCAGCACGTTTTCCTAAACACTTGCTTGGGCCCTGCCTTCTGACCTGTTTATTCCCAGCAGAGAAAGGAGACAAACATTCATGAGTGACTTCCCTTCTTCCCTGAGGCCCATTTTCCTCATCTGACAAATGCATTGTCAGGAGGAGAAAGGAGATGCCATATGTGAAACACCTAACATAGAGCTGGGTACCTGGCAGACACCTGGTTATTACTGCTGCTATCCGACAATGTGGTTAGGTGGGGGCCCAGATGGCCGACTTGTGCTGTTCCAGAGACTTCTGCCAGCCTGCTGCAGAGCTTCCCTGCCCCAGTCCCCCGCCCTCACCCCCTGCCCTCCACCACAGCCACACCAAGGGCATGCAGCATGAGCAGAGACGACAGAGGACTGTCCTCTTGGTAAAGGGCCCGACAAAGCTGGACTTTTTTAAAAGGAGCTTTGTTAGAATCAAAGAACCTGAATGAGAATGGCCAGATGAAAAGTCAGTTGTCTGTCTCTAAGACAAATACCAGAACAAGAAATGATAAGGTTAGAAGCAGATTATGGAACCAGATGAGGTCTCCCAGGAAGAATGTTGGGTAGGGAGTTAGGCGACCTTGCCTGAATCCTGGCCTCTCTGTGCTGACTTGTGGGATGCCTGGGGGGAGCCATGTCACCTCTTAGAGCCTCACTTTCCTTACCTGTTTCTGTGGAAGTGTTAGTGCTTTCCCTGGGTTCCGGGGGGATTCCACAGCTCATGGACTAAAAAAGGCTTGTTTTAGTAATGGCCCATTTTAATGTTCCCTGCTGACCATGACCCTCAGGAAGCTCTTTTTTTAGCCTGGCCTGGGACCCTTAACCCTTCATCCCCCATTTTGGCTCTTTGGGCAGTGCTGGTCCTGGCCTGTTCCTGGGCAGCCTGTGGTCCCGGGGCTGTACCTGGGTGGAAGAGAGAGGCTGTGCTTTCCATGAGCATCCCTGGTACAGAGGGCAGTTGAAGCCGTAGAGGGAACACAGGCCCAGAAAGTCCTGTTTCTGAAGTTCCTGGTTAGGGTTTATACAACAAGACAGCAACAGAGCAGGAAGTAAGCTGAGGCCCTGGGTTCTTTGCACCGCTGTTCACTGTGAGCCACACTGCGGGGCCTGGGGGTGCAGGCTCTCAGCATGTGTTGACTTTGCCTTATAGTCGGAAAACTCAGACCTGTTCTACGCTGTGCCGTGGTCCTGTGGGACCCTGGGCTTCCTGGTGGCCGCCGAGATCCGCATCATCCCCGCCAAGAAGTACGTCAGGCTTCGGTTTGAGCCGGTGTGGGGCCTGGAGGCTATCTGCGACAAGTTCACCCGGGAGTCCCAGCGGCTAGAGAACCACTTCGTGGAAGGGCTGCTGTACTCCCTGGATGAGGCTGTCATCATGACGGGGGTCATGACAGACCAGGCAGAGCCCAGCAAGGTAGGCCAGGGCGTCAGCGGCTGAGGGCCAAGGCCTGGGGAGGAGGAAGGCCCGGGTGGGCTGGGGCTGAGCCTGTGCCCCCACCCTGACCCTGCCTGGCAGCCACGTTCTTTGAGGCCATGACCTCGGTCAGCCCACCCAGGGTTGGGGCCCTAGGATCTACAGTCAGAGCTGTCTCAGACAGGGATGGAAGCATCCGTTGACTCTGCCCCGAACACCTCCCAGATACATGTGTGCCTCTTGAAAGGCACACCCTTTTGCTGATCCTTACAGCAACCCCATTTTAGAGATGAGGGAACTGAGGCTCTAAGAGGTCCTGTGAACTTCCACGAGATGACAGAACCAAGATTTGCAGAATGGATTTGATGCCTCAGAATCTAGATGGACACTCCTTTAATGGACGTCATTTTCAATAGCAGCTTTTTTTCTCTCATGTGAAAGGGTTTGTGTGTATGAGAGACTTGGAAACTATAAATGAGTAAAAGGAAAGAAGACCCTACCGATAAACATGACCCAAAACCAGTTCTTGCTAACCGTTGGGTATATTTATTTCCTCTCTTTTCAGGGCATACCTTAAAGTTTTTAAATTATAAAAGTAGCATCACAACGTTGAACTATATAAAGGAAAGTTAAAATGGGTCTCTTCCCCCAGGCTCACCCCAGAGTAACCGCTTGTAACATGGTGCATGCCTGAGGTGTGCACGCACGCGCGTGGGCGCACCCTCCTTTCCTCCCGGTGTCTCAGGATGGCGTGGAATAACTGACCTAACGCGCTGCTTCCTGATGAACATCTATCCTGCTTCAGATGTTTTGCTCTTACAAATAAGATTGCGTTGAAGTTTCTCTGACATCCATCCTTGGCCTCTTGGGCAAGCACTTCCGTAGGATTGAGTCCAAATATTGGAATTCCTGACTTAAGGACTGGAGCACATTACACACCGACAGCCGCTGCCAAACAGTCCTTCAGAGCAGTGGTACTTCTGCCCGCGTCCGGCGACCGTGTGTGACAATATGCCTTTCTCCTACGTTCTTGCCGACACTGGATACGATCACGCTTTCATTTTTGCCAATCTGATAGGGTTAAAAATAGCATCTTGTTTCCTTTTGTGGTTCTCGGGTCGCCTTTGTGGTTCGGACATCTCTTTGTATGCTTTTTTCCGTTTGTTCGTCTTCGGCTGTGATCGGTTGTGACCAGCTGTTCAAACTTGCGTTTTCCGGTTGAGTGTGATACGTGTTTCCCCACATAGTTGCATAGACAATTCAAAATTGTCATTTAATGACTGCAGAGCACTGTGTTGAGCGAATGGCCTATCATTTACTGAACCATGGCCCCGTGGTTGGAAATATAAGTTGCTTCCAGTCTTTCCTTTTTCTTTTTATTTATTTATTTATTTTTAGAGAGAGAGAGTGGCAAGGGGGGTCAGAGGGAGAGGGAGAGAGAGAATCTTAAGCAGGCTCCATGCCCAGCACAGAGCCCGATGCAGAGCTCCATCTCACGACGCCAGGATCATGACCTGCACCAAAACCAAGAGTCGGACGCTTAATCGACTGAACCACCCAGGCGCCCCTGTCTTTCCTGATTTTAATTAAGGTAGCCATGAACATCTTTTGTCTATAATTGGAATAATATCTTAAAGTACATCAAAGGATAAGTACTCTTAAGGCTTTTGATCTATACCAGTATACTTAAAACCTTCTAAAATTGTAAAGCACTTGGAAATCGTCTCGTGCAATTCCCTCTCTAAATAGGGAAACAAGGCCCAGAGGGGACGAGACTTCTGTGAGCGCTCACGGCTAGCATGGGGCAGGTCTCTGACTCCTAGTCCAGTGTTACTTCCCCAGCCTACCAGCTTCTGTAATCCAGCAGCATTCACAGACACTGACCGAGGACCCGTCCTGGTGGGGCACCATGGTGGGTGCTGGGGGATGGGGATCCTGGAGCAGGAGTGGGAACACTGGACATAGACACAAAGCCAATGTGCCGTGTCGCTCCCCAGGCCCCATCAGTGCGGGTCACCTAGCACCTGGTCACCTGGCAAGGACATCTAGTGCAGATGTCTTCTGCCTTCTCCCAGGCATTCCCTTAGAGGCTGGCGGAGGGGCCACTCCCTGTGCTCATCCCTGGTACCTGTTTGCTGTATTAGATGCCACCTAATGTTATAATCAGACAGCGGGGTTTGTACAGCTTTTAAAGTGTTGGGACACCGTAACCCATTCCCTTATTGCCCTAGAAGACCACGGTCTTACCGCGAGGTTCACCTGGTATCAGTGGGAGAGGGGCCAGGCCCCCAGGCTGCAGACTTTTACAAAGTGTCCTGATGCCCATCGGTAACAGGGTTCAGGAAGGAGAGTGGCAGATACTATTAGACATATGGACATCTCATTCTTCCGAACACTCCTGTTGGGCAAGCTGCTCAGGAATTTGTCCTGGGCTGTGTGGCCCTGGGATGGGCCCTCTGCAGGTCCAGAAGAGCCAGTGGGAGGAGGCAGCCCACCCTGACTTACAGGGGAGGCCCGGGGCTAGGGAGGGGCGTGCTCTCTGAGTGCTCCAGCTGGAAGCGGAGCTCCTGTGGCCCTCTGGCTGCCCCAGCGGACCTATCCCTGGGAGAGACACAGTGTCCGGGTTCTTTAGCATCTCCTGGGCTTGTCTGGCCCGGAGGTTCCTACTGAGTCGAGGAGCACAGGGAGCGCCCGAACCCAGGTATGCCCTGGTCTCGATTCCATCATGCAGCTGGTGTGTGGCCAGGCCACACCTGCGGTTAGATCAGGTTGCTCTGCTCCTGTTGGGTTTCACTGTCCCTTGTACCAGCAGGCAGAGGCCAGTGCACTGCGTCCTTTGCCCTGCCGCGCTAGCCGCGCTAACCACGCTAACGTGGACTTGCACAAACAGGCTCTTCAGCCCAGCGTCCTGGCACCTCGTGGCCCCGGTTTCCTGCCAGCATAGTGGCCTGCTGCACAAGGGGACACCCGCATGGGCTGGAGCGTTGCTGCCAGAGATGGGGGCCAGAGGCTCCTAGGGGAGGGGCTTGTGAGGGGGTCGGGGGCAGAGGATGGGAGAGGGCTGGGAACTGACCGCTGTGCCCGTGGGCAGGCGCCATGCCGGGCACTTTCCTTGTTGGCTTTTCTGGTTTCCACAGCCGCTCCAGGGCGGGTAATAGCTCCATTTCACCGGTGCTGAAAGCAAGGCTCAGAGTGACCTGCCCAGGACCAGCACCGTGTGTTCAAAGTAGGACAAGCAAATCCACAAACAGTGCACAGGACGATCCCATTTTTATAAATCCATGTGTATGCACAGAAAAGAAAACCTAATGAGTACACATCCGTGTTAGTAGTTACCTCGGGAGGGTGAGGCTGCAAGGTGTCTCTCTTGCCAAGTTGCATATTTCTGCAGCATGTGAGGTTCCCACAAGGCATTTACTTTGCTTTTGGAATCGGGAGAAAATAGTGATAGGTTTGTTGTTGTTTTTTTATAACGTTCACATTCCAGAGCGCACTGTTCAAGTTCCCCGCTGCCCAGCCCTGGCCTCGTGCAACGTGGGATAGGATTGAGTCCTTGCCCTGCCCCTGGCCAGCCGTGTGGCCTCGGGCGCGCTGTTCCACCTTGATGGGTCTCAGTCTCCTCATCAGCGAGACAAGCACAGCTCTGCCTTGCAAGGTCACCGAGGGGATACAGAGCAAGCACGTGAAGTGCCCGGAGCATGTTGTTGTGATGGGTCTCGGCCATGAGCCACCCTGGGAATGCTCATCTTACCTCTGCTCCCGCCTTTATACCCTGACGGTTCCCCGGCAGCATCGTGCCTCTGCTCCGAGGCTGCTGTTCTCGGCCCCCTCCTCAGCCTGTGCTGCACCCCAGCTGGGTGCGATCTCACCTGCCCCATAAAACTCGGGGGCCTCCCCCACCCCCCAGGGAACGGGGTCTGACGTGGGGCCCGAGTGTCTGCGGCGTGTGGGTGTGATTTCTAATTGGCACAGAAAATCTCCCACAACGTGGATAGTTTTATTGCCGTTTTATATGCGAAGAGAGAGGCTGAGAGAGCGACCGGCCCCAGGTCACACAGCTGGTGGGTGACGGGAGCCAGGGTCCGGCCCCAGCGCTGGAGCCCGTGTTCCTTCCAGGCCGTTGCCCTCCCTCTCTCCAAAAGCACCTGCCCGGAATTCATTCCATGTGCAAGGACGCTGAGGCCCAGAGAGGCTAAGTCATGCCAGGGCCCCCCGCAGGTGGAGTCCTGAACCGTTTAGGACCGAAGACTGTCTCAATATAAGATCTAGGCATTGGAGGCCGGGGGCCTGGTGCCAGGGAAGTGTTCGGTTCGCTCTGTGAGCTTCCTCCACTGAGGGGGGCTGCCTGAGGGGAGCACGGCACCCAGAGGGTCGTGGGCCTTGGTGTCGGCCGCAAGTGAAGTGCCACGGTCAGTCAGTGCTGCTGGCCGCGGGACCCGGTGACAGGGTAGGCGGAGTGGGAGGGAGGGAGGGAAGGCGTCCCCCGCGTGGCGCTGCGTCCTTCGGCATTTGCCCCTCGGTTCTGTCCGTGAGGGGGAGGGGTGGCTGAGCTCTCCAGACCGTCGGGCACCACTTACCCTCGCTGTGCTAGAGAATGCCCGCTGTGCTCAGCCTCACCGGGCTCTCAAGAGTCTCACGGGCGGTGACAGACTCGGAACCTTTGAAGAGGCCGCAGGTGCTGAGCAGAGGCGGGTATCACCGTTACGGCCCGATGGCATCAGGCCCTCGTCTGTGGGCTGACACAGTGCCCTCTGTCATTTCAGCTGAATAGCATTGGCAACTACTACAAGCCCTGGTTCTTCAAGCACGTGGAGAACTACCTGAAGACAAAGCGGGAGGGCCTGGAGTACATTCCCCTGAGACATTACTACCACCGCCACACGCGCAGCATCTTCTGGGAGCTCCAGGTGAGGCTCGGAGTCCCCAGCCGGCCAGCACTGTGGGGCCAGAGGGGCCTCGTCCCAGGGACCCAGAGCACCCGTGACACCACAGACAGAGACACCAGAGACACCACAGCGCTGTCCTCCGGGGGGAGCAGGCGGCTCTCACTTGGGCTCAGCAGCCTGTCGCAGAGCATCTGCTCCAGGCCGGGCACCTGGGAGCACACACACCTGCTCTGCCCTTGAGGAGCCGTAGCCTCACCAGGCCGATAGACCCTGGCACGGGGCAGGGCCATGGCAATGGGGAGGGGAGGCGGCTCGTTCTGCCCAAGGTCAGAGGCGGCCGTCGAGCTTGGCCTTGAAGGTGAGCAGGGATTTGCTGTTCTGTGTGGAGGGGTGAGATGCGGTGACATTTTAAAGAGGGGCGACAGAGAAGGCCTCTGGCGGGGGGTGGAGAGGGACTTGTGCACAGGGACCTGACCACGGCGGGGCTCGGCGGGGGGACGAGCCAGAGCATGGGTCCTCAACTGGGCTACATGGGTTCTTTTTTCTTCTAAGTCATAGAACCTAGAAATAACCACTTTAATGTGTACCATTCCGTGGTATTTAGTACATTCGTCATGTTGTACAACTTGCACCAAAGCTGCTGAGGAGACGAACAGTAATCTGGAAGCGGTAATGAAGCCGCAGGAGGAGCCCCACTCACCTCCGTCAACCCCAGACGGTCGTGGGAGAGGACATGATGCCCCTGAGGAGGCCCGCAGGGACCAGCCAGCCCCCAGCTAAGAGCCGGCAGAGGAAGGCAGTGTCCAGAGAAGAGACTGAGGATGGAGGGGCTTTGCTGATGTCAGACCACGAGAACATGGAGGAGGGCTTGGGAGATGAGGAGACAGGGCCGGGTGGAGTCAGATTAGGACATGTTGCATCGTGGTAGCAGGTCACAGGGCACCTGGAGGCTGTGGTGACTAGGTTAAACCAGGCTGACAGGCATGAGGTTAGACCTGACAGTCTCCTAGGAGAAGGTGGGACATCCTAACTGTGGGCCTGTCTCTCAGGCTGAATGTGATGGGGACGTGGTGAGGGGTTGGAGGAGTGGGGAGCGGAGGGCCCATCAGCGCCTGCGAGCGCGGGGCACCCCCACCTCCAAGAGAGCTCCCTTGTCAAGGCCCAGAGCGGTTGGTGGTCTGCCAAATGCAGAAGACACTGTAAGTCCCTCTTTGTCCCTGCCAAGAACAGTGTTAGGTTGTGGGAGGTGTGTTTTTGTCAGGAGCAAGAACGTTTAAGGGACAGGAAAAGAAAGAGGACCGGCAAGGGAGCCCGAGAAGAACATCAGAGAGTACACAGTAACTGCTCCATATGTGTTAGCTGAGACGCCGAACACCACACACGCGGTACCTCAACCTTCCTAACAGCCCCAGGGTGGTGGGGCCTCATGTCTGTTCCATTCTCCAGATGGGGGGGAACTGAGGCTTAGGTTATCCAGAGTAACACAACTCAGGAAGAGATCAAGTATAGTTATCTCTTGCAGCATAATGAACTACCCCAAACTTAGAGGATTAAAACAACTGACAATTTCTTATTATTTTCTGTTCTCTCAGTTTTCTGAGGGCAGGGATTGGGGAGGGACTAATCTGGGTGACTCTGGCTCAGGGTTGCAGTCCAGTGTCATCTGGAGGCTTGCGGGGGGATGGAGGATATGTTTTCCAGAAGGTTCCCTCACACGGTTGTTAACAAGAGGCCTCCATTCCTTGCCACGTGGGCTGCTTGAGTGTCCTCATGACAGGGCAGTGGGAGCTGTCCAGGAGAGAGACCAAGGAGGAGCCTCGAGGCCTTACAGGGCCCGTCTCCTCACACTCCGCCAGCCCCGCTGGACGCTGTCAGAGCAAGTCCAGCCCCCACTCAGGGAGGCAAATCACGCTCCATCTCTTTTGAAGAAAGGAGTAGCAAAGCATCTGTGGGTGTTTTGCTTTTTGTTTTTAATTCAAGTTAGTTAACATACAATGTAGTATTGGTTTCAGGAGTAAGAATTTGTGTGTTGTTTTTTTTTTTTAACCACAGAGCTAGGATTCATGATGAGGTTTGTCTTATATTTCTGTGCCATGAGGCACTGGCTGTCCTTCCCGAGGTGAAAGGAAGAGTCTGGTAGGACAGGTGTCTTACGACTGAGATTTGCACACAGGGCATCTGGGCGGAGCATCACGGCATCCACCACAGTAGAGTTGCAGAAGCCCAGACTTCTAGAAAGAAGGGGTAATAAACAATGTCAAGTGCATGCCTTTTCCCCCTCCCCTGGGGTGAACTCCTCCTCCCTCAGGCAGCCCTCCACCCTGGTTCCTCCTTGCTGCATCCACCCTTGAATCAATCACAGGTGACCTAGGCTGATGCTGAACCTCTCGGTCCGATCCTGTCACCCTGGGGCCAGGCCTTCCTTCACCCAGCTTCACCCAGCTCAGTTAATCAGTAATATTTGGGGTCAAGGCCAGCCACATGATCTGCAGGGCACGGTGCAAAAAGGAGGGAAAGAGTACCGTCAAAGATAGTACCGTGGTCTCTCTGAATTTTGCTATTTAACGTTCTAAGTAAAGAAGAATTAATAATTTAAATTATTGGAATGAATTTACTGTTCATCTCTTATTAGGAGTATTGAACTCTTCATGTGTATGTGTTTCGTTCTGAGCGGACCAGTTGCACAAAACTAGCTCAGTTGTGTTTATCTCCCTTCCTGGTAAATTCACATTCTCTCAATACTCCAGCGTGGCTTAGTGATGAGTAAGGAAGGACTGAAGGGAAAGAGGACTCTGGGCAGCCCCCTCTTTCCCTTCCCTTTTCTGTCCTCCTTTTCTGCCAGTGTTAGTGGTTGGCTGATACAGGGAGGTAGCACCGGATAGGGTTCTTGGTGATTCGTGTTTCTTTTTAATGCCATTGCCACAGGGCCTGCATTTGGGGCTTGGGGTCCTGGCTCAGGCCAGGCCCCCTGGATCTGTTGTGGGGCCCTGCAGAGCAGAGCAGGCTGGTAGCAGACTGGACCCAGGTAAATGGCAAGGGCAGGCAGAGTCTGGGGGACCAGGAGTAAAGTCAGGACACGGGGCCTGGGGTCACTCAGAGGCAGAGGGATGAGAAGAGGAGGTCGGGGCTTACTGTTTAAAACTTGAACTTTTCTGGGGCGCCTGGGTGGCTCAGTCGGTTAAGCGTCTGCCTTCGGCTCAGGTCATGATCTCAGGGTCCTGGGATCGAGCCCCGCATCAGGCTCCCCGCTCAGCGGGAAGTCTGCTTCTCTCTCTCCCATTCCCCCTGCTTGTGTTCCCTCTCTCGCTGTGTCTCTCTCTATCAAATAAATAAAATTTAAAAAAGTAAAAAAAAAAAAACTTGAACTTTTCTGAGGTTGAGATTTTGGAAAAGGAATGGTTCTAGCTGATACTTTCGGCTAACAATTGACTGTTTTTAAGGGAAGAATACAAATGGCTGTTAAACATGAGAGAGATGATGGGTCTCACTCCATTAAAGCCGGGCAAAACAAAATTTCAGGAGTCACATCTTTCACCCGCAGGATGATGGCGAGGCAGAATTTTGACGACGCTGCTTGGCCTGGGGAAGCAGCACTGCCTGGTGTCATTTGGGAGAGTGTGACATGGCACACACTCTTGAAATAATATCCACTAAAATGGCACACACCGAACCAGAAGTTTCCACTTCTTGGAATTTATTCTACAGACAAACGAAGGTGTAAATGGGCAAAGGCACATGTAGAAAGGATACTCACTGGAATAGTCTGGGAATCGTCCAAGTGCTTATCCGTACAGAACTGATTCAATCAGTTAAGGTCCATCCACACAGGAGGGCAGTGTAAAGGGCCAGATGCTAGTTTGGGTTTTGTGGACCATGAGGTCTCTCTAGAGGCCGATCTGCCCTCACAGTCTGAAAGCCCCCACAGACAGTGCGTAAACACATGGGCATGGTTGTGTCCCAGTGGAGCTTTATATGTGGGCCAGATTTGTCCGCGGAGCCATAGTTTGTGGGTCCCCGCGGGGCAGTGGTCGCACCCCCGAGCAAGCGCGTGCTGGCCGGCTGCGCATGAGGCACAGGGGGAGGGAGAAGCATGAGGCTGTCAGACGCCGTCTGTGAGCTGTTGGCTTGTACGCCCGTCCGTGTGTCTGCGCATCAGGTGTCTCTAGAAAGGGACACAGATCCTTCCTAACAGTGGCTGCCTTTGGGGAGGGGACAGAAGTCGGGTTGAGGAAGAATGAAGTGGGGTCAGGACTAGGGGGGAAATGGGGTGAGGACATGAAAGGAGGCCTAACCTTTGGATGGCTGGGATTTCTGCTGTGGGCATGTGTGACTTTTCCAAAAACAAGCGAGGAAACAATAAAAGCCAAGCCACACATTGTTCTCCGGTCATGTGCTAGCGTCACTGTAGGTGCCAGGATCTAAGCCGAGTAGAGCTGGGTGCAGATGGGTCCCTCCCTCGTAGGAGTGGGCTGCCAGTCGGAGAGCTGGCTCCAGGGCAGAGAGGGAGGGTCACTCGGCTTCCAAAGCTTAGCTCCCAGGTTCCTTTGGGAAGCCACCCCTGACCTCGAGTCTGATGTGGGCCCTGCGTCATTTTGTCCCAGCTCTTCCCACACCGTAGTCCTCTGGCCTGTCTCTTCGACTGGAGGACAGGGATAGGGACCATGTCTCGTTTATCTTGCTATCCCCAGCACCCAGCATGGAACCTCATACCTGACCTCATAGGCACCTCATAATTGTTTAATGAATAAAGGAATGTCCTTGGGGGCACCTGGGTGGCTCAGTCGGTTGACCCTTGATTTCGTCTGACCCTTGATTTCGGCTCGTGCCCTGGTCTCGGTGTTGTCAGATGGAGCCTCACATCCGGCTCCGTGCTCAGCGCAGAATCTGCTTGTCTCTCTCCCTCTGCTCCTCCCCCAGTTCATGCGCAGGGACTCGCTCCAAGAATGTTACCCCATTCTTGAAGCCAAGGACATTGCTTTACATTCGGGAAGACAGGCTTGGAGCAAGGGAGGAAGATAGTGAGTGGAGGGAGGCCAGAGTCTCGGCTGTTGGGACCAGGCAGGATGGCCAGCGGGTGGATGGTGAGCTGGTGGGCGGCATGGTGTATTGTCGGAAGCAGTGCTGAGGGAGGGGGGCTCCTCCCCGGTGGTGGGTTGAGCATGGAAGAAGAAGAGCAGCCTCTGCTCAGGAGGGTCTCCAGGGAGGCTGAGTTGGGGGAGGCAGGCAAGGTAGCGCTGTGAAGGGCCACAGGCACGAGAAAAGAAGTGGCTAATTCTGCCTAGGGTTGGAGGTTAGCCGTCAGGCTTGGCCTTGAAAGATGACAGAATTTGCTCTTGTGCGTGGAGGGGTGGGGAGCAGTAACATTTTAAATAGGAGTCTGAGAAGGCCTCTCAGGAGACGCTGTGAACCAGTGAGCTCATGGATGACCCTGAGCCAGACCTTGCCCACCCTGGTGAGAGCGGCCCGTGGCTATGTGACATTGGGGAAATTGCTTAAGCTCTCTGATGATCTTCTCATTCAGTGACATTTTCTTGACCATTTACAAAATGCCGTCTGTGTGCCAGCCACTCAGACCTCAATGACAGCAATTATAGTTATCTTATTTTGCTCCTGGCACTGGGCTGTGTGCCTTCTAGTTGGTATCTCATTATTCCCTCAAATCCTGTTTTATAGATAAGGAAACTAAGCTCAAAGAGGTTAAGTAACTAGCCCAAGGTCATTGCAGCAGGTAAATGCCAGAGCTGAGACTCAAACCCAGACCCAGCTGGGCGAACCGTGGGTACCACCGTTCCCCTCCAGACAGGAGGAGTGGGCCCTGTCATCCGGAACGCTGAACGAGGACCTGGCCCCTGGCCCATGGAGATACTCGGCCCTGTTGGCCCCTTCTCTCCATCGCCAACCTTTGTCTTTCAGGACATCATCCCCTTTGGCAACAACCCCATCTTCCGCTACCTCTTTGGTTGGATGGTGCCTCCCAAGATCTCCCTCCTGAAGCTGACCCAGGGCGAGACCCTGCGCAAGCTGTACGAGCAGCACCACGTGGTGCAGGACATGCTGGTGCCCATGAAGTGCCTGTCGCAGGCAGTGCACACCTTCCACAACGACATCCATGTGAGCCGGGGACGGCACCCTCTGGGCCTCAGTGTTCCCAGCTGTAAAATGGGCCTGCTCCGTGATGGCCCTGAGAGGAGAGAAGGCATGGTGGCTGCTGCTGAGCACTTCTGTGAACTGTTCACGTTTGTGCCCTCTAACGTGGCAAAGTGGAGGCGCTGTCGGCCATAGCCTCGGGGATCGGGAGCAGAGCTGTGGGCAGCCAGAGAGAGGGGTCTCTGGGTGGGGGTGGAGTGGGCCCGCCATGAGCCTGGCACCTGTTGGAGAAAAAACACCAACGCCCCTCTCCCTGGTCCACCCAGGTCTACCCCATCTGGCTGTGCCCGTTCATCCTGCCCAGCCAGCCGGGCCTGGTGCACCCCAAGGGAGATGAGGCCGAGCTCTATGTTGACATTGGAGCATATGGGGAGCCACGCGTGAAGCACTTTGAAGCCAGGTCGTGCATGCGGCAGTTGGAGAAGTTCGTCCGAAGCGTGCATGGGTGAGTGGCCCAGAGTGTGGCACGCTTTCTCCGGCCGCCAGCCCCAGGGTGCTGCTGCTGGGGGTGTAGAGTAAGGTCAAGGTGGCCAGCCCCGAGCCAGCCCCACTGGTTGCCGAGGGAGTGTGGAGCCGTAGTGGCCTCTGGTTTGGAAAGTACCTTGAGAAAGTCTGGAGGTGGGATTTCTCACCCCTCTTCCTCACAGCCCTCCCATGAGCACACCAGCATCCCCCAGGTGCTCAGGCCAGAGCCCCGGGATCACCCTGCTCCGCTCCCCAGAGCAGATGGTGGTGTGGTTTTAGATAGGTTCCGGGCCGCTACTCGGGGTTGGAGGAGCTCAGCGAAGGAGGGAGGGATTCTGAATCCGCACAGATTGACTGAAAGCCGCACAGAGGCCCAGGACAGCGTAGCTCAGAAACCAGCCTGGAACAAACCCTTGATGTATTTAATACATGGACACATCTCAGAATAGTTACGCTGATTGAAAAAACCAGGAAAAAGGAGTACTGTATGATTCCAGGTATACGAAAGTCCCGAATCCACAGTGACAGAAAGCTGAGCCGCCTGGGTGGTGGAGGGCAACGGACGACATGGGGCCATGATCAAAGTTTGGGGGGTGATGGATGTGGGGGCAAGTGTAAACGAGAAATCCTCCACGAGCGCTTCCTGCGGCTCATTGGGGACACAGCCGGGGCCTCTCGGGTCCCTTCCCCTCCCCTCAGCCTCCCCGTCCTGTGCTTCCTAGGTTCCAGATGCTGTATGCCGACTGCTACATGAGCCGGGAGGAGTTCTGGGAGATGTTCGATGGCTCCCTGTACCACAGGCTGCGGGAGCGGCTCGGTTGCCAGGACGCCTTCCCTGAGGTGTACGACAAGATCTGCAAGGCTGCCAGGCACTGAGCGTGGGCCCGCCCGGAAAGAGACAGACATGTGGGTGGGCCCTGTCCCCAGGTCCAGGAGGCATCTTCTCTTCACTCAAGCTTGACTGCTCTCCCAGATCCACGCTTCCAGAAAGAACCCCCTCCAGAAATCCCACACGGACTGCCCCGATGGCTAGCTCTGGCTCCCAGAGGCAGCCGAGTGGAGGGCAAAGGATGTGGGCTCTGGAGTCAGACGTACCTGAGTCCCATTCCCAGTTCAGCCCCTCGTGAGCTGTGTGACTCTGGGCGAGTCACTCAGCCCTTCTGGACCCAGCTGTCCACCTGGTGAAGGGGGTCACAGTGCCTGCCCTCAGGCCGTGGGCATCGGGGTCCGGCGGCGGTCTGGCGGCAGGTGCTGAGGGCCGTAGCTATGCTGACTCTGGCTTCCCGCTCAGCACCGAGTCCAGGAAGGCCCCACGTGAGGTCACCTGGGCGCAGTTCTGGCTGGAAGGGTGAGGGGATGCTCCAGCGTCGCACCCACCATTGCTTCAGTTGGCCAGACACACCCCTCACAGACAGACAGAAGGAAGGTTCCTCTCCCTCCCCAGGGTCTCCGGAGGGCAACAGATGGGGCAGGCAGGCCCAAGACGTGCTGTGCCAAAGCCAGGTCCCAGTCCAAAGTTCCCTGTGCCGTCCTTGGTGACGCCCTGCCCCTTCCTCCTTCCGGCCCACCGCAGCCATCACCCATGTCTCAGAGAGGACCGGGTCCTCGAAGACACTTCATGGCTGCCTCCTGTCCCAGCCCAGGCGGTGTGGCTCCCGCTCTGACCTAGGGCTGGAGCACCTGCGCCCATCCTTGGCTCCCCGACCCTCCGTGCCTCTTTTGGGCCCCAGAGCCTGCCTAGTCACGGGGGCGGGGGCTGCATCTATACTGCTCTGCAGCCTGGGGTGGGGGGTGGGGGGGTGGACCCCACCAAGCAGGAAGATGGAGGTTCAGTGCGGAGTCTCACTGTGGGGCCCCAAGGAAAGACCATCAGCTTGATTTCTCCAACCACTCCTCCCTTCGTTCGCCCCCGCCCATAGCTGTAGTTAATTTCAGTGCCTTACAAATCCTAAGCTCAGAGAAAATTAGCCCCATTTCCCTTCCAGAAGGAAAGGAGCCTCCCTAGGTCCTTCCTGACTTGTTAAAAGCCTAGTTGGTTATGCAGCTCCATCTGAAGAACGTCCCCAGCTGAGGACCCAGCCTCTGAGAACGAAGCGTGTCGTGTAGGGAGCTGGGATGGAGTGAACCGTGCCAGGCAGTGACCTGCTGAAAGCAAGAGTGAGCACTGCACTAGGAGACAGAAGCTGGCTCTCAGGCCCTGCTGGCTTATCAGCAAGCCGTGTGACCGTGGGCGAGTCATCTGGCCCTGGAGCTGCGGCCCCTCACCTCCCCAGGCCTTTCCGCTGTGGGAGCACATGACTGTCCTGGACCGTGTGCTTGCAGTGCCGCTCAAGGCCAAACCAAACCTAAACCCTCCACGTGGGCGCTGTAAGGTCCTTCCTTCAGACCAAGGCCAGCTCTCCTGTCACTCAGAGAAGCGCACCTATGGCACGCAGGGAAGGGTCTGCGTCTTGTCACTGCAGGTTGCCAGAAGCCCGATGGAGCCAGGCTTTCCCCGGGGGATGCTCAGCTATCCCCCTGCAGCCTCGGCCCACTGCCAGGTGTCCTCGCATGGTCCCATGAGTGCTGGGCGCGTTTGTGACCCTCAGGAGACAAAGGCACCCCCCCCTCCCCTTACCCATTTGGCCTCTGGAGGGGGCATGAGAAAAATAAGAAACCTCATTCTCCAGCTTGTCTGCAGAGCACATGAATTCTGGCCTTTGCCCTCCTGGTGGGCGCCTGCGTTTCCCGCTCGATGCTAAACTGATGATCCTACTTCTTGTGGAGGAATGGTTAGCCCGAGCAGAGGGGCCCGGCCAAGAAGGCCCTGGCGTCCCACCAGAGGGGCCTCCAGCCTTAAGCCGCCGGGAGGGTAGCCAGAGATGCTAGTGGCCTCTACCGCCCTTAGTCCTAGAAAAACCAAAATCCTGCCCTTCACAGACCTCACCCGGAAACGGGGGCTCGGAAGGGAGGGTCTCGGGATCATAGCAGCCTCAGGTTTACGTTCTGCTCCCATCATAATGGTGACTTGCAAGCATGGCAGGCCGCGCGACCGGCTTTTTCCCCTTAGCCAGCCCCATCCCTGTCCATCCATGTGGTGGTTTCAGGGGGAGTGAAACTTGGCACTGGGGTGAGTGTGTGTGCAAAGTAAAGGGATAGGCCTTTCCCTTCTAGAGCCCCGAGTTTCTTGGCTGCACGAAGGTTTTCTGTAGAATCCGAGTTGCAGCCAGTTTCTTTGGCTGGAAGGTTGCATCATTTCATTAGCTGTTACAGAAGGGGAAGGGGTGGGGGATGCGTGCGGCAGTGCATGGTGTGTGGTTTTTATTTTTCCCATGACCGCGGGGACCAAGGAGAAAGGCCCGAGTGTCCCCGAGCAGGCTCTTCCAGCCGCAAGAGCTGTGCTTGCTGTCGGACACACTTCATGTCCCCGTGGCTGCGTGGCCGCTGCTTCTATACAAATAAAAGTGTGACCTGGAGACTAGCCTTCGTCGTTTCTTGTTGGAGGCTCGGGCTCCGGCGCCGGTGGGTTCCCCCTCTGGACCATGGACAAGGACTGAAGGACGACAGGGGGGAGGGCCGGGGATCGTGGGCGCTTTTCCCCGTTTTTGGACGTCTGCCGCTGGTCGCAGTGTGACCTGGCGTAGGTGTGAATGGGATGCCGCTGACCGCAGGGGGAGAGGCTAGAAGCCGGGCAACCAGTGAGAAGGGCCCGGGGAGGGGTGACGGTAGCTCGGATCAGGGAGGGGACGACTTCTTAGGGTGTCAGACGTGGTCATCAGGAGCTGCAGTCCTGATTGTCCGCTTGGTCACTAAAATCCTTTCTTCGAGCTGCTAGAACTGCCTTCCCCAGCCTCCCTTGCACTCAGGTGTCTCTGGTCTTCAGGAGATGTGAAGAGACGTGGGGAAGACCTCCCACATGAGGTTCTGGCACTTTCCCCTTCTTAGCTGGATGCCAGTGACAACCAGGCCATACGCTTTGGCAGGGTCAGTAGTTGGAAGGAGCCCGAATCCCTGAGTAACTGCAGTACTGCTCATCACCTGAGCCCTGGCCTGGCCTATTCCAGGAGCAAGAAACAGAGCTTTGTAGCTGAGTCACTACTACTTGGGAGTGTTCGCTAGAGTTCCTGAAGTCACCCAAGTTGGTTGTCAGGCCTAAATGAGCAGAGATAAAAGAGCTGAGTTTGGTACACATGGATATACGTGATGGACATTTTCCTAAAATATGTGTGATATGAGGGTCCCATCCTAAGGTTATTTGGGAAGAACGCTTTAGGATGTTTCCGGTCGTTCAGTCTCACAAGTCTGGATTTTTGTGAACTCTCCTTAAATGAGGAGAAATCTTTAATGTTCCTTAAAATAGAATTTGTATCTTAAGCCTTAAATGCCACATGACACACAATCTCAGATTTTTTTTTAAGATTTTATTTATTTGAGAGAGAGAGAGCGAGAGACAGAGAATGAGCTGGGAGTAGGGTCAGAGGGAGAAGCAGACTCCCCGCTGAGCAGGGAGCCCGATGCGGGGCTCGATCCCAGGAGCCCGAGATCACGACCCGAGTCGAAGGCAGACGCTCAACTGACTGAGCCATCCATGTGCCCCTCATATTGGATCTTCATCCTGTACCAGAAGCAGGTCAGTTTACACCCCCATTTTACAGGTGAGAAAGTGAGGCTCAGGGAAGGTCAAGTGATTTGCCTGAAGGCCACATGGACGCCATTAACAAATTAAACAAGGACGCAGAGCTGTATCTCATCTTACAGCACAGAAGTAGGGAATGAGCCTCAGCACCAGCTGAGACAGTCGCTCCAGCTCTGGAAGCAGTGAAATGAGCCCCCGTGGCTGGGCCTCACCTGTAGTGGGAGGTCAGAGTTCATGGCATGATCTGCGGAGAAGGGAGGCAGGGAGGGTTCGGCTCTGACTCGGGGCTTTTCCTTCCACCGGAGCCGCTCCTGTCTAAACAGACCCTCAGTCCACACACACAGTGTCCACACATTGGCATTCATGCCAGAGTAGCAACAGTTGGTTTTCCAAACTTGGCTTAGTAGTGTGAAAAATCACACTACGCAAGTTAAATGTGGATGTATTTTTAAACTAGGCTTCCTAGTCCTGTCTTGGTGATTAAATGGTCTAACAGGTTTCATCTTGCATGACTACTCAAATTATTCAGGTGACTGCCCAGGCAGGCTGTGTTGAGAAAGAGAGTGAGGCTTTGTTGAGGTCTAGGAAGGGGTATTTCAATGGTGCTAGGGATGTGTATGTTGAAGCCCTAGTGTCCTGGTACTGGGAGGTGGGGCCTTCTGGAAGTAAGCGTGTCAGGAGGGTGGAATCCCCGTGATGGGGTTAGTGTCCTTAGAAGAAGAAACTCCAGAGATCTAGCCCTCTCTCTGATCGCTGCCATGTGAGGATACAAGATGTCCATCTGCAAACCAGGAGGAGGGCTCTTACCAGACACGGGATCTGCTGGCACCTTGATCTTGAACTTGTCAGCCTCCAGAACCGTGAGACATAAATGTTGTTTAATTCACCCAGTCTCTGGTAAGTTGTTGTAGCAGCTTGAACAGCTGACGACAGATGCTGTGAAGATTGTTGACCCAGTAGACCCAGAAATAGTTGAATCCTGCTCTGTCCATCACCTCTTCTCCCCATGGGGTTCCCTAGGGAGCAGTCCCAAGGGAATGAGTTTTTTAATGGGGCACTGCAAGGTAATAGAAAAAATATATAGTGGTCTCTGTCCCCAGTTCTTGGTACAGGGCTTCTAAAAAAACCTTTGTAATTTCCTAAGTGATGAAAGCACTAGAAACATCTTTTATTCTAATATTTGGCCTTTGACCCTGATTCCTGACTCTGAATCTAAATCCTAAATCCCTTGAAATTTCCTGGGTGATAGGAGTATCTTTTGTCCTAATGAAGCAACTCTGGGTGGGCTCCTGGTGGGCTCAGGCATGGAGCTCCAAGGGTCAAGTTAGAGAAGGTGAAACTCCCTTTAGGGCCAAAGGACCATGGCAGGGCCCGCAGCAGGGGCCAGGCTTGCTGAGGCCCAGGGCAGGCATCGAGGAGCCCATATTACAAGGATTCAGGACATGAGCTCGGAACAGGAGGGGCTTTCCCTGTCACCTGGCCTGGCTGTTGTGTCTGGGTCACTGTGGACTTGAGGTACAAGGCACTGGAGAGGGTTCCTGACGGTCAAAACCATCACCCTCGTTTACTGAGAACCTAACACAGCCAATAAAAGTCTCATCCTATTAACTAGGTTAGCTAAAGCATAAGTGCTTTGCAACCTAGGGAAACTTGCTCCTTCTCTGAGCCTGTTTCCTCTTGCAAAAGCCAGCTGTGCTTCATCGTGCTGAGGTATTAGATGACCAGCTATTTAGCTGCAACAGGACTGCCTATATGAGATGCCCACTCATTGTTATGTTACCTGTGATCCAGATTGCAGGATGGTGCTGAGTCACAGGTCTGGTGACATGGCTTATGAAAGGCAGTTTTTGCCCTGCTCAGGGCTTCCCACAACTTGGCAGGACTTTATATTCAACTGGAAGAAACTGCTACCCTCCTAAGCAACCAGGGAGTTGCTAGATCCTGATGTGGAGGATGTCATGTGCCAGAGTGCTCACCCCAGTCTTCTGTGGACTACTGAAAGAGATTGAACTAGAATTGACAGTGGGCAAACCTTTACCCTGCTGTGGAACTCTTTTTCTCCAAAGCTTTTAGTCCAACATATCACAAACAGGGTTTGTACTTAGGTTCAAGCAGGGCAAAGCTAAGAGCCCAGCCCTCCTGCCTTCCTTCCCCAGAGGTCAAGGGACGCCTCAGTAGAGCCCAGTTAGCAAACCTCAGCTCTCCTTACAGCCCTGCCCAGGCAAAAGGGCAAAGGTCACAAGGAAGCCGGATTTCAGCTCAGCATCCATAGGACGCTTTTGCAGGCATGGCTGCCCTCTGCCGGATGGGGCTGTCTGGTCGGTGCGTCAGGAGCTGGACAGACAGTTACTGTTGTGGAGGAAAGCAGTGGTCTCCGAAGTGAGATGCCCAAGCCAGCGGTCTGGCAAGGTGACACAGTGGGAAGCTAGAAAAAAATATCAGTGCTTGTGTTGGTCTGGGTCAGAAGCAGACCCGGAGACAAGGATTTGGGCACAAGCCATTCATTTGGGCGGTGAAGAAAACAGCAGGAGATGGAGGAAGAGGTGAGAGCCAAGAAAGTGTGCATTGTCAACAGGTTACCACTGTGGGCAAGGGGGCTTGAGTTGTGTGGGGAAAACTCTGAAAGCCAGAGTAAAACATACACCTCAGAGTTCTATCCCACAAGGAGTGAGTTTGCCGGGTGTTTATATGCCAACGCCGTCAGTCAAATTTGAGGACAGCTCCTGAGGGATGTTAATTCCTGTGGCACTTCGACCTTCCGTGGAAAGGAAGCCTTCCATGGCAGCCAGAGAATCTTTCACTCCGTTATGGCTGGATGTCCCTTCTTAGCATTTACACGACTTTTGTAACGTATAGAAGTGCACTGGTATTTCGACACAAAGTACTTAAAGGAATTGCCTCTTTTAAAGTTGTCACACAGGTTTCTCTTACAAAAAGGCAAGCGTTCCAAAATTGTTAACCTGCTCTATGCTGACAGTGATCGTCAGCAATGTGACCGCTAACAAGTGTATTTGAAAAAAATGTACTTATTCTATAAGATAAAGCAATCTTTTTTTTTCTTTTCTTTTTCTTTTTTTTTTTTTTTTTTTTGAGAGAGAGCGAGAGAGAGCACAGGCATACATGCCTGCAGGCGGGGGATGGAGAGGGGCAGAGGGAGAGGGAAAGAGAGAGAATCTTAAGCAGGCTCCATGCCTGACATGGGGCTCAATTCCATGACCCTGTGATCAAGACCTGAGCCAAAATCAAGAGTCAGATGCTTAACCCACTGAGCCACCCAGACGCCCCAAAGGTAAAGCAATCTTTTAAAAAAGTTTTATTGTGTATATTTTTAACTTTTTATTTTGAATTAATTTTAGACTTGTGGAAAAGTTGCAATTCCCATGCCCCCCTCACCCAGCTCTCTCCAACGTTAGCATCTTCTACATAACCACAGTAGAATTATCAAAACCAAGAAATTAACATCAGCATCCTGTTACTAACTAAACCACAGACCTCATTTTTATCTCACCGGTTTTTATAGGAATGTTCCTTTCCTTTCCAGAATCCCATCTAGGATTCTACATTGCTCTTAGTTGTTAATTATTTTCTTCCAAACTGTAATCATTTATATCTAATAAACTGCACATAGTTCAACTGTACAATTTGGCCAGGCTCAATATTTGTATGGACACACCACAGTTGTTTATTCATTCACCTGTTGATGGACATTTGGACTCTTTCTAGTTTGCAGCCAACACAAATAAAGTGGCTGGGAACATTACAGTCTTTGTGTGGACATATGCTCTCATTCTCTTGGGTAAATACCCAGGAGAGGAAAGACTGGATTAGATGGTAGGTGTGCAGTTAGTTTTTTGCCAAACTGTTTTCCAAAGTAGTTGAATCACTTTACATTTTCCACTAGCAATGTATGAGAGTTCCAGTTTCTCCACATCCTCACCAACACTGGGCAGGGTCAGTCTTTTTAATTTTAGCTTTTTTAATAGGTGGGTAGTGATATCTCATTGTAGTTTTAATCTGCATTTCCTTAATGACTAATGTATATATTCTGGAGATAAATCCTTTATCAGATCTATGATTTGCAAATATTTTCTCCCAGCCTATGGCTTGTCTTTCCATTCTCTTAATAGTGTCTTCGGAAAAAACAGAATTTTTAAATTTTAATTAAGTTCAATTTAAGAATTTAACAATTTGTTCATATCATACCAAAGTATGATCTACAGAATAGCAAATAGTTATATTTGTATCTAAGAAATTTCAGCCTGATCTACAGTCCAAAGGTTTTCCTCCTATGCTTTCTTAATTTAGGTTTTACATTTCGGGTTATGATTCATTTTGAGTTAATTTTTGTATATGACTTGAGTCATTGCTCACAGTTCATTTTTTTACATATTGATATTCAATAATTCCAGCACCATCTGTTGAGAGGATTATTCTTTTTCCACTGAACTGTCTTTTCATCTTTGTTGAAAATCAGTTGTCCACTGGTGTGGGTCTGTTTCTACATTTTCTATTCTGTTCCTTTAATCTGTCAATCTTGACACCAATTTCATGCTATGGAATAAAGTAATGCTACTCCTCCAGCTTTGTTCCTCTTTTTCAAGGTTGTTTTGGTTATTTTATGTCTTTTATATTTCCTTGTTTTTAGGATCAGCTTGTCGACTTAAAAACAATTACTGGGATTTTGACTGATACTGCACTGAGTCTACAGATCAATTTGGGGGGAACAGATATCTTAGGAACATTGAGTCTTTTGATCCCGAACATGGCATATCTCTCCTTTATTTAAGTCTTCTTTAATTTCTCTCAGCAGTATTTTGTAGTTTTCAGTGTAAACATCTTACACTCCTTTTGTCAAATTTATACCTAAATATTTCATAGTTTTGAGGCTATCATAAGTGGCATTTTAGATTTTCAATTTTTTATTATCACTAATATATAGAAATACTTGATTTTGATATATTGATCTTATTTCCTGAAAATTTGCTAAGCTGATTTATTAGATCTAGTTTGCACCCATTATGACTCATCAACTTTTTTGAGGATTCACAGGATTTTTTTTCACATAGGCAACATGTCTGTGAATAAAGACAGTTTTACTTCTTCTAAAAAAGTCATTTTGACATGAGTGAGGAAGTAACTGCTTTTTGTAAGGCACTCACACTCTGAAGAGTAAGAGTACTTATCGTTACTGGAGTTTTGTGGCTGAGGCTGTGGTGTCCCAGCCTCCTTTTTTTTCTAGGGACAACACAATCCTGCCACCCTACACAATCTCTTACCAACAAAAAACAGTGAAGGAAGTAGCTCAGGACATTGTGACCAACCCCACAGACCCATCTTTGGGCTAGACTGGTGTGCCCACAAGGCCGAACACCACGGTTGAAACTGATTGTTTCCCAATGACTGCACACGGCCTGGGGGCCAGCAGCCTCCTCATAGTAGTGTTAGGCCCTGCTGAGCTTCCAGAAGCATCCTGGATGGAGATGAAGAGTTCCCAAAGGGGGCCTACAGCTGTCTTCTGACATATGCTACACTTTTCGGCCTCTTTCTGGATTTTAATAATCAGGGAGTCAAGCGATTTGGCTTTAGAATAGAGGAGGTTCCATTAGTCCATCAGCTCCCACGTTGGTGCCACGGGCTAATTTGAATTCTCAAGATAGCTGATCTTCCATATCAAAAGATATCTGGCCCCGTCTGTCCTAGCAGACATCGTGACCTCCAGGTGGATGTCTCCAGCAAAAGTGATCTCACCGTATCCCTCCCCTCTCCCAGGCATTCCCATGTGTCCTTTCTCTAAGACCCTCCCCACCCTCCCAATTCCCATTCCTACCCTCCCATCCCCAAATTTGTCTTCAGGCCTTTGGGCCCTCTGGTCATCACAGGCTGTCCTTCATATGCAGCTTTAAGGAGTAGGATCTGAATTGTAATCCACCATTGGAGGGCACTTCCCCTTGGTAAAAGGTGTGATCCTTTCCCTTTAAAAAGACAGAAAGAGAACATGAAACTGGTCCCTGGGAAGGACTGAGCCACCATCCTTGGAGGGGCACTGAGGGTGGGGGGTGATGAACAGGTACCCATTGGCTGTGCTCCCCAAGGGATCCTATATTGGGTAAGAGGATGACCTCCAGCAATAAAACAGCCTGGTTCTAGAGAGGAGATTCCTTTCCTTTGCATCTAGTTTGGTTCATCAGAGCCCCCAAGTTGGTTTGTAAGAACTTCAAGTACAAAAATCCTAGCACTTGGAAGATCATCTAGGGGTGCCTGGGTGGCTCAGGTCGTGATGCCACGGTCCTGGGATCGAGCCCCGCATCAGGCACCCTGCTCAGCGGGGAGCCTGCTTCTCCCTCTCCCTGTGCTGTTCCCTTGCTTGTGCTCCCTCTCTCCGTCAAATAAATAAATAAAATCTTTAAAGAAAAAAAAATATATCATCTAGCCCACCTTGAGAGGGAGACTGAGGACCAGGGTGAGGAGAGAAGTGGCCTGAGGTTACCCTGGTGGTCAGAGTCAGGGCCAGAATTCTAGCCCAGAGCCCCTGACCTCAGTCTAGTGTCCCTTGCATTGTTCTGATTCTTTCCTCTGAAGGGGACCCCTGAAGACTCTGGCTCCATCCTCAGAGCCATTTGGAAGACGGCATTTCAAGAAGAACCCTTTGCTTTGTGTATCAAACTGCATCTAGCAGTCGTTACCCGACACACATTTATGTGTTTGTTTATTGTGTCTTCCATGTAAACTGACAATACCAAATAGTGACAAGGATATGGAGCAAGGCGAGCCCACATACATGGCTGGTGGGAACACAAAATAGTATAGCCATTTTGGGAAATAGCTTGGCAGTTTTTTATAAAGTTACACATACCACATGACCTTGAAACCCTACGGAAGATATTTGCCAAAGAGAAACAAAAGCTTGTGTCTACACAAAGACCTGTATGTGACTGTTTAGAGCAGCTTTATTCAAAATGGCCCAAACTGGAAACAACCCAGATATCCCTCACCTTGGAAATGGATTAAAAAAAAAACCCTGTGGTACATCCATACAGTGGAATACAAGTCAGCATTCAAAAGGAATTACTGCTACACGCAACTATGTGGGTGAATCTCAGGAGCAACACGTAAAACAAAAGAAAAGATACAGAAGTCTACATATGGCACAATTCTACTTACACAACATTCTGAAAAAGGCAAAACTATAGGGATGAAATCCTGGCAATAGTTGCCAGAGGCTGGGGGAGGGGATTGACGACAAAGGGCACAAGGAAGCCCTTTGGGACAATGGTAATATTCTACATCTTGCCTGCCTTGGTGATTACATGGCCATAGGGATTTGTCAAAACTCATGGAACTATATTCCTCTAAAGGGTGAATTTTACTGTATGCAGTTGTACTATTGTAAATCTGACTTTTAAAGAAAACCTCCTGTGTCTTTTTGCAGGCAGGATAAAGTCCAAGCAGCTTAGCTTTGCATGCAAAGTTCCTGAGGACTGACCTAGCCAGTCCCATCTGCCCTCTTCTCTGCTATTCTCCCTGTACACACTCCACACATCATCCAGAATGAACCATCTCATCTTTTCCAGACATGTCCTGAGCTTTTTCGCTCCCTGTCCTTTGCTCTTCTCTCTGTCCTAAATGTTTTCTCCTCCCTGGAAGAAGTGAACCCTCCTGGAAAGAGCACAGCTTGGACCAGCTGGGCTAGAGATGCAATCCTGCTCCGCCACTATGGCAGACAGAGGGCAGAAATGGTCCCAGTCTCCACTTCTCCAGTGCACCGTGACTCAGCAGCTTCCCCCATCAAAAGGTAGAGTCTGCTTCCCCCCCCTTTGAATCTGGGCTGGACTTGCATTTTGCCTTGGCCAACAGAATGTGGAAGAAGTCATGTTGTGCCACTCTGAGCTTAGGCTGCAAAAGGCCTTGAACATGTCCTCTCTCAAACCCCTGCCTCCTCCATGAGAACAAGCCTGGGCTGGACTGCTGATGGATGAGTCCCTGAGGAAGAGTGTCTAGTTGTCCCATCCAAGACCATCCCAGACCAGCCAGCCCCAGCCAACCAACAGACCCATCTCCTCTCCTGACCCAGAGCCCATTTTTTAGGGTCTACTATAAAGTCTCATTACCCCTTAAGGTCCCTGTCTGAGCAACTAGTATTTCAGACACGAAGAGGCAAAGCCAAGTCCCACCCTAATATTACATCTTCGCAGTGACCAGCTTCTGGGCTACTTGAATCACAGGTATCTGTCTGCAAACTCCTACATTAGGACACTGCAATCCTGCTGTGCCTATCTATCTGGCTCCATCCCTTGCCACATCCTCCCCTATGCCCCACCCTCCCTCCACTCAGCCCCTCCAACAGGCCAGGCTTGTTCATCCCTCCGTGCCCAAGCCAGCAGCCTGGGACACCCTCCATTTCTGCACCACCTTCCCAGGCAGACTGTGGCTACCTCTCTCTGCACACCACGCTCCCACAGCATCTTGCGGAGCCCTCTGTCGTGGACCTAATTCTAAACCAATCCCTCCCCTTCATCCCATTTGCCTAGGACTTTCTGAGCAAAACCCCCTGGCCCCTAGCAATTGTTGGCTTACATTTAACTGGCTCATCAACCTCTATGTCTTCCCTGCCTCCTGCTCTCATCCTAGGTCAACCTTTTTCTGCACTCGGGAAACTGCCCCTCCAGCCTGAATAAGGAATGGGTTCCACCACCTTGCAGTCGAATCACCTACTTCTTCCTTGCCCATCAGGCTGGAAATATGCTCAAGCCTCTATCCCCACCCACTCCTACCAAAAATAAAGGAGGATAGAAGATAGGAAGGAAGAAAGGAAGCAAAAGTAAAAATATGACCTCCTCTCCTCTCTGCCTTCCCTCGGAGCTTAAGGCCCCATATTTTCTTGGTGCCATGTTGCCTCTATGGTAGTCACCAGACTTCCACAGTAAGTGTGTAGTGGAATTGTGGAGGGAGCAGACTCCGTGCTGAGCTTCCTAAGGGTTCCCTCTTCCAGTCCAAACTCCTAAATCTCCCACCAAAGCAGCATATACAAGGGCCCAGGAAGTCAAAGGAAACTGACCCGTCAGGGGCAGGTGGAGTGAGGACAGGGAGACAAGTCACGGTGAAGGCTTTCTCTGCCTTAGCCTTCCAGGGTTGGAAGAGCCTTCCTTCCTTGTCTCATCCTCCAGAAGACCACGGGGAAAGAGTGAGGGAAGTGTCTGGGTGTGGAGACAGAAGTCCTGGGTCCACTTGCCCTGATCCTCCTCCTCAGCTGCCCTATCACTGTAAGAAGGGGTGAGTGTCTTCTGCACGAAGCTGGGCACCACGGGGGGGCAGAGCTGCTGTCTGGCTCTCTTCTGCCATGTCCCAGCAGCCAGGATGGGCCTGGCATGCAGCAACTGCTCAGTGAACCTCTGAAGCCCGCGTGCATGAATGCCATGGACGGGCAGCGACTTTTTAGGACATCACTCTCTCCAAATTTCAGTTGTCTCAGCTGGAAAACATCGAGAGTAAGGTCTCCCTTTTAAAGTTATCATGTATAGTAAATGCCTACAAAATCACTTTGTATGTTGTAAATGTGCTCAAGAATAATGATCATTATTATTACAAAGAATGGATATTTAGGATTTCAACTTTAGACTTCTGGACAAGGGATATGGCTTTAGTTTAAAATGCCAAAAACGGGGCGCCTGGGTGGCTCAGATGGTTAAGCGTCTGCCTTCGGCTCAGGTCATGATCTCAGGGTCCTGGGATTGAGTCCTGCATCGGGCTCCCTGCTCCTTGGGAGCCTGCTTCTCCCTCTGCCTCTCCCTCTCTCATGAATAAATAAATAAATAAATAAATAAATAAATAAATAAATAAATAAAATAAAATGCCGAAAAGGTAGTATACGTGCTGAAGTATTCAGGAGGAAATGTATTGCTGTCTGCCATCTACTTAACACCTATCAAATTATAAGATGATTAATAGATGGACAGAAGGACAGATAGGTAGAAAGAGATGTCATAAAGCAAGAAGAGTAAAACATTAATGATATAATCTAAGTGGTAGGTATATAGGTGTACATGGTAAAAATCCTTTCCATTTTTCTGTATGCTTGAAATTTTTCATGATAAAAATGTCAGGTGAAAAAGCTTAAAAGGAAGAATAACCTTCTGCCAAATCAAACTGGAAATTTCCCATGTGTTCGAAACTTTCATGGAGTCATCCAGACTCTGGACCATCTTGTCAGTTAATGCCCTGACTCACCCTTTAACAAATATTCCTTGAGCACCTTCTCTGCAAACCAGTGAGACACTAGAGCTTTGGAATCGAGAAGCTGTATCTAGTAGGGACCACAGACAACATGGGAATAAGTAATGACAACATAAGGGGGAAAAGTGCCTCAACCTGGGGATCACAAGAGATTGAGAATAGACTCTATCTGGACAAATCGGGAAAGGCTTCCAACTTAAGCAGAGTTGTGGAGGATGAATAGAAGTTTTCCAGACAGGAACTAGCAAAAGGACGTTCCAAGAACAGGTCACTGTGTGGCCAAAGCGTGGAGAGTGGTGCAAAGTGTGGCCTGGCCAGAGCAGAGTGCTCCTGTCCATCCAGCAAGAGGATGGGCCAGATGGGGTAAGAAGACCTGGCTGTGGGGCTCCTGGCTGGCTTAGCCGATAGAGCACTCGACTCTTGATCTCAGGGTTGTTAGTTCAAGCCCCACGTTGGGTTCAGAGCCTACTTTAAAAAAAAAAAAAAAAAAGGAGGGGCCCCTGGGTAGCTCAGTCAGTTGAGCGTGTGACTCTTGGTTTTGGATCAGGTCATGATCTCAGGGTCGTGAGATCAAGCCCCGCATTGGGCTCTGTGGTCAGTGGGGAGTTTGCTGGAGATTCTCTCTCCCTCTGCCCCTCCCCCAACTCGCATGCTCTCTCTCTAATAAATAAAATCTTTCAAAAAAGAAAGCAACATTAAAATCAGAAATCTGTTTAAAAAAAAAAAAAAAAGACCTAGCTGT